TAGTGCCCTTACAAAAGGCTCAAAAGGGATCCTCTTACATTCCCTTGTGAGGTTACAGTAAGAGGATGTCTGTCTATAAGAAAGCAGGCTCTTACTGGACACTGAAGCTACTAGAACTTTGATCTTGGACCTCCCTCTAGAACTGTGAAAAATAAATCTGTTATGTATAAGCCTCCCAGCCTATTTCACTATGCAGTCTGAATGAACTAATATGAAAAGTGAGCTAAAAATTACTGTTATTTTTGCTCTGTCTCCTTATTACACACCAATTTAATGATGACAGTGTTGCAGAAGTAAAAATACTAATGTCAAAATTTTGAATATATAATACTTGAATTCTTAAAATAACCCTGTTTGGATATAATAAGGAACAGAACCAAGAGGTTAAATGACTTGTCCTAAACCATTTTGATAAGGTCTTTCTTGATAAGTTCATAAATTACATCAAAATGAAGTAAATCAGAACTTCCCAAATGAAAGTGTCAAAACAAGAGTTTACTTTAGCCTCTCTAAGGTTAAAGGATTTTCCTGTTTTTATTTTGTTTTGTTTCTATTGTTTGGCTTTTGCCAGTTGTGTTTTTGAAGTGCTGGGGTTGAACCCAGGGCCTTGAGAATACTAAGTAAAAGCTCTACCAGTGATCTATATCTCCAGCCTTCAAGTTTAGTTTCTAATCTCTATATAAAATAAATGAATGCATTTGAGATGTGAACTTTGTGACTAACGTTAAACTATAGTAATGAGCAGAAAGTCTCATACCTAAACATATGGAAAAATGGCGTTCTAACAAAATATTTTTTATATTATGTTCCCAAGTTAATAATTTATCAAATGATACCTGTTGATGGTTTCAACAATTTCTTCTTGAGAAATACACTAAAAATATCATGGCAAAAAAGTTGCTGAAAGCCTGTGAACTTCACTAGAATCTATGGCATTTCATATCTACTTTCAAATCACTTGAAAGAAGAAATAAACAGAGTAACCTCAATGAAACATTGTGTGTGTGTGTGTGTGTGTGTGTGTGTGTGTGTCAGATCCAACCCAGGGGAACTTTACCACTGAACCACATCACCCCGCCCTTCTCATGTTTTATTTTCAGACAGTGTCTTGTTAAGTTGCTGAGACTGGCTTTGAACTTACAATCCTCCTGCCCCAGCCTCCTGAGCTACTGGGATTGCAGGCATGTGCCACTGTATCCAGCAAAAACATTTTTTATTTAATAAAAAGCTATGTTTTCAATATTTACAGCTGCTTGGTCCTACATCTGTTGCTAGCCAAGTTGATAGTACTTATCAGTATACATGGCAACTTGTTAACAGAAACCCTAAATCTCATTTATTTTTCAAAATCTTGTTAAAATAACACACCTACCAAAGCTTCACTACTCCATCAGCTAGATATAATCCTAAATCTTTTAAATATCCTAGAACTTTATCCATAGCATCATTAGAACTTAACACTTTCTATCTTATAACAAATGATCTAGGACCAATCCAATCCACTGGATGTAAGGTTCTAAATGCCTGACATTCCCTGGTGAATAAGGAGGACTAGAGCTCTGACCCAGGAATTAGAAGCAGTGCCATGTGGAAGCTGACATAGCTGGCTTGCAGCAGGATTCGAGGGAACCAGTAAGCAAACTAGTGAGAAATAAAGGAGAACTAACTGCTGTCCAGGGGACTTAGGACTTGAGAAAATGTCTGAAGGGGTAGCCCAAAACAAAACTAGGATTCTCAGTGAAAGGCTAGCAAAAGAAAATAGATGGCAAAAGGGTTAGCACCACAGAGTCAAGAAAGATCCCAAAGCAGCAGTGTGCAGTAGAATGTCTTTGACTAAGCCCATGGATAAAAGTTCTTACAGGTTCTATACCCTTTGGAACACTTAAGAGTAGGGAATATGTCTTACATAACTGAATTTAGAGTCAGAAGAGCTGGGTTCAAGTGCAAGCTCTGACATTTTCCAGCTGTGTGAGACTTGGCAAGGCAATCACTCTGAACTTCAGATTCCTTTTCTATGAAAAAGAGATAACACCTATTTCACATTGTCATTCTAAAGATTAATAATTTATGTGAAAGCACTTTACAAACTCTAAAATTTCAAGTAAGGTATTATTAAAATACCATAGTATGCTACTATGTGAACTAATTTTGCTAATTTTTTTAATTGTGAAAAATTTCCCAAACACTGGTAACTTTACCTCAACTATTTAAAAGTTTGTTTAAAGATGTATGTGTTGAATGGCTTTGTTTTACTTTTATTTGATTCTTCAGTATAAATGAAACAAGTAATATTTTCTGGTTTAATTACTGTAAAAATATCAATCTTCTCTAAGCTCCTAATGCCCCCCCCCCAATGCTGTGTTTCTGGGGGGGGGGGGGTGTCCTCGAGTGTGCATACACGCGTGTATCTCCATAATTTCTTATCATGCATTGCTCAATCCTTTCCAGACAAAATTTATTAAAAGTTATTCCAGACTAGAAAATCTTCAATTTCACCAAGAAGTTGTGATGGAACAATATTCTAATAGTATTATTACTTTATTTTTACATATTGTAGTGTTTTTAGAATGATAAAAACAAAACTTCTTTTTATCACTTGCTTAATTAATGAAGCTCTTACTCTATGAAAAGATATTATGGGAAAAAAATACACTTTAAAAATGAGATACTTAAAATGTAATGAAGAGCCATGAATAGGAAAAGAAAAATACTGACAAATGAGAATTCCCTAGGAAAAGGACAGAATTCTTGCTTAACAATATTAATAAAATTCCACTGGAAGATTGGGGCAGGGGGGACTTATACTCTAAGATCCTCCTAACATTAATTTAAGTCCTCATGCTCAATTTAAACTACATTTTAATTAGATTTGAGTAAATAACAAATACACTGAGTTTACATATTTACAAAATAGAGAGGTTTATATAATATACAATATGTTACAGAAAAGCCTTAGAAGAAAAGCTTTCATAAATATTAGCATAAATAACATAATAAGTAACTGAATAATAAATGATATGAAAACTAAAAGCAATATTAACTTATATTTAGGATGAACTAAATCATGACCTTTTCTGTACTGGCACATTATAATCTCTTATTCACTAAAGGGGAAAACAAAGAAACAAAAGTTTGGAACTATCAGTTTATTCTTTAAACTAAAATTGAGTCTAGTCACTGAAGTGAATACTACTAGAATTTTATTACTGTTTTCAAAATTCTGAAAAAATGCATCATTTACAAGTCTCTGAATAAATATAAGCACTTCAGAGGGAAAAAATGAAATGAAATCAATATTTTTTAAACATTGAAATTTTAAAATATTGAAATCTTTTTACTAACTACTTTCTAACAACAATTTCTAGAACATTATCATCCAATATCAAACATCAATTAAGAATAAATTAACATGAAAAATTCATTTATTTAATTGAATTGACAGTACCTACCAATTCAAACAGATCTAAAACCGCTTTATAGCAACAATTTCCCCTTTAAGACCTATTACAAAAGTGCAGAGTATAATTAGGATATAGGTACATACATCAAGGGGTCAATATATACTAAATACTCATTTAAAAAATAACTTCCAAAAGTTTAAGTTCAAGGAATCAGTGCTAATCCAAAATGAAATATCAAAACCTATAACAATAAAAATTTTAAGATTAACTTGGTGAAAATTTCATGTCTATATATTTTTTTAAACCACTGCATTTTATTTTATTTTATTTTATTTATTTTTATGTGGTGCTGAAGATCAAACCCAGTGCCTCATACATGCTAGGAAAAAGCTCTACCACTAAGTCACAACCCCAGCCCCCTCATGTCTATATCTTTATGTTAGAAATTTTCAGTTACTTTTGGTCAATTCTTTGCTTTAAAATTGGTCAAAATTACATAGACTTTTTTTGTTGTTGTTGTTAAATAACATGTATATGTAGTTAAAAGCCAGTATGAATTGATAATATTAATAATTATTATTTTAGTATTTGAGAAAATATATTCATTTTTCAAACTTCATTACGTATTTTAAACAGTTTAATTTCCTATACTTTCCTATACTCATCATGCTAGGCAATATTTCAACTCCAGTAATTTGGAGTCAATAATTAGCTACACTGTGACATTAAAAAAAATTACTCGCAGTATTCACATTAATTCTCTAAACAATGAGTAAACCATACTTAATAAGCATAAGAAAACATGCTCATGAAAAATCCACTATGTTACAAACTTTCTCTCAAATATACTTTCACAAACAATAATGAAGAATCATTCTTGTTTTATAACATAAAATAAACACATAATTAAAAGCAAAAATCTAAAATTCTGATATATTTTATATCCACAATTTTGATATATTTTAATATATACATCAAAATATAACAAGAGTCTTCATTATAAGGAATAACAATATAGTAAGAATCTATAGGCAACATAAATCCTCTTTATAAAAATATCTTCTTAAATCAACTCAATGTAAAATTTCTTTAAAAGAATTTAAGTTTGAAGATAATGTTTTATACCTGAGAATAATACATTTTAAAAATTTTGAACCAATGTAAATATGATCACTTAATATGGTATTTATAAACTGTACAATCTTAGTACAGAAAGAGCCAAATATTTTTGATTCTTCTAAGTACAGGATTAATTATTTTAATGCAATTTTTATGCCTCTGAGGCATAATTTGTCCATATTTTTATTTGTACATTAGAATTATACATAATGGTGGGATTCACTGTTACATATTTGTATATGCACATGGTATAAAAATGTAATTTGGCCAATATCATTTCCCAGTATTTCAAATAATACTCAGTATTTCCCTTTTTCTCCTCTCCTCAAGATTAACTATTTATAACTATATTATTAACAAAATTGATCATATCTATCATAAACAGAAATAGAAAATACACCAAAGACCACTTTGACTAATGTGCTTATAAAAATGATATAAACAGAAATTTTTAAAAATTTAACATTGTTTAATACTTACTTAAACAAGACCTCTTGCCAGCTGTGCTTGCACCACCTGAACATAAATTGCCTCCTCGATGAATCAATTCAAGTTCCAAATTGGTTCTATAAGTAAAGCATTAAAATATATTTCCATGACTAGGCTGAAGAGATCCTTTTTAATTTGCTTTATTGACATGTCTGAATCAACCTAAATAATAAAGTTCTTCAACTTTATTATCTGCAGTATCAGTAATAATTATATTTTATCTGATATTTAGAACTAAAAAGGAAACAACTTATACATCCTTACTTATATGTTCATATTTACACCTGCAAAAAAATTGTACACATTACCATGTCATTGTTGCAAAGTCCCAAATGTTGGCAAATACTAAAAACTAGGACTAAAGGGGGAGGGGGGACAACCTGCAACGTATTTCATAAACCTACAATATGAATCTGATGAAAGAATTTGTACTCCAACGGTCAGCCACTAGGTGGGTAGTTATTGTCACACAAAACACAAGGTATACCAATTTTTCTGCTAGAGAAATGATTATCACTCATGAAGCTCAGATGGTATCTGGAAATCAATATCAAGAAACAAAATCATTGATATCTAAATGGCTATGAATAAAAACATAATTAATAGCAGTCTCTTTTATGGACTTCTACAAATATAGTAATTAAAATATACTGTGTAACTATAAACACTGTTAAACATCAGTATTAATTCATATAAAGATCTGAAATTAAAAGCTATTCAGCAATTATTAACTTATAGCGTAGTAATTAGTAAACTGACATTTTGAAAATTAAACTGCATAGAATCTAAAGATTTACTCAACAACAGTAAAAAAAAAAAAAAAAGCCAAAACAATAAATAAAATTCTAGATTATAAATTAAATGGAGTTTTATTTCAATAATATTTATAAACTTAAATATACCTTTTTTTCCTATGACTAAAACTGAATTAACTACTTTATATCCAAGATATGTATTTGACTCTAGCAGTAAGATATTTTCCCATCTTAAAATGGGGATGAGGGGCAAGTTTCAAGCTTATTTTTTGCAAGTGAATTCAAGAAAGATTATATCCTATTTTATTTAAAACAAAATATTTTCAACTGGTTTTGGTTACAATTTTGAACACAATGTTTTGAAATGATATTTTCACAGATTTACTTATAAATGCAAATTGTTAAAAATATTAATATTCCTAAATCTGTACATTTGCCACCCATTTCTAAAGGAATGCTTTAATCCTTCTATCAGGGTGGGGGGAAAGCAATTTAACACTGATAATGTTCCTGCTCACAGCTCCATCTGGTTGCTGCTGATAAGGGCATCTGTGTGACAAGGGAATTTTCCACCCTTCAGGCGATTTGCATTGCTCACTGAACTTCTAAAAACCTACCAGCAAGGAAGCAGGGACAAGGATTTCATATTAGTGGACAGAAAGCGAGCGGAGACCAGCATGTGTTCCTTCATCAAGGGAATATAAATGAGATCAATACATTTTGTTTTCACAAATCTTCTGTTGCCTAATCTGTAGAAAAAAATTAATGGCTATATTCTCTTATAAAAACTGATTTCCTAGATAGTATTTTTAAAAATACTAACCAAAAACATGAACAATTCTCACAAATGAATGTCAGAACCAGAATGTCAATTTTTTTTCAGCATATTTGCAAAAATACTTACTAATATATAAATATAAAAACAATTCTTTTTATTCAATCACCATATATGATACTTTAAAGGATGATAAACATGTTACTAGGAATTTCATTTTAAAGGATATTTGAAATAAAACTACTAAATCTAATTTACTGAAATAAATTTTGGTTGGAAGAACTCCTGTACAACATTTCTTTCATGTTAAAAAACAAAAAGTGCCCAGCCAAGGGTTAATATGTAATAATATCTGGGATTTTAAAAATTGATTTCAGAAGCCCTATCAACTTTTCCTTACTTCATTTATATAAAAATCATCCCTTTAAGACTTGCTAGAGTGAAAAACACACAAATGGAATCATGTGTCCCTTGTCTATCACTCCTCTGGTTGAAAGTCACAACAATCTGTTTCTCGTTTCTGAATGGATGATGCACAAATAAAGATATGTTGAAAGTGGGAGGTTTATGTCCCTTTTGTTCTTGAAGAAGTCAATTCTATTTTGTATATTTTCTAACTCAAATATATTCAAATTAGTTTGCGAGAAAAAAATAAGAGAAAAATCTCTACATTTGGAAGAATGATAAGAAAGACTGCTAAAAGCCCATCATAGTAATAACCTACATATACCATATATCCACATAAAACCCCTCTAACTGTACTCTGCTTCTTTTTGCAGGACCACCGTCTTTCACCTCTCTACCAGCCTTCAGCACTAGCTGTTATTTTATAAAATTTGAAAATAAATAAATAATGTACACAGATGCTCAAACTCACATTGGTCTGGTGGAAAGGGCCAAAGGCCCAGAAAAAAGATCTGGATTCAAGGCCTGAATCTATCACTTTACTGGTTGAATAAGAAAGTCAATTTTTCTGGGTGTGTGGTGGGGGACAGAAACCTTCATCCACACCCCAGCCTACATTATGTAAAGTTGTGACTCAAGTTCTAGCTATTCCAGGAAGCCTTTCTGAGACAGGAAAGAAGCACTTCCATGTACTTTGAATTTCAGTTTGCTTATCTTTCCTTTTGAAATTCTACAGCATTTCTCTATATGACTTTAAAAAAAATTGTACTCTGTTTCATATAGAATGTTGTTTATTAGTTTTGTCTCTCTATATAAACTGCAAATTCCTGAACAAGGACCACTTCATATACAGCTTCTAAACCCCCAATGGTGTGTAGCAAAGTGCTTAAAAATATTTGGGGGACTAAGAACTTCTTTGTTTTGGTATGTAACCAATTAGAAGATTTTTATTACTCCTTGCAGTTAATTATCTTTCTCTTGCTGATTTTTATATTCCTTAAAACCAGCAATAACCACCCCCAACCACTGCCAAAAAAAAAAAGTATTTCAGGAGGAAAAAAGTCATGTTTAAAAGGATTTAAAAAATGTTTGAATACTGAGTACTTTACCCATTTGTGATTTAAAGATGTCTGTCCAACACATTTCAGATACTCATGTTTCATCTTTCCATTTCTATTTTTTTCTCACAATATGCCGGCCAAGTGCTACTCATTAATATCTCTAGTCCCTATATAACTTGGATCAAAAAATCCTTGGAAAAATCAATTCTTAAAATTCATGTCACTCATTGTTTCAATAATGAAATTATGAGTTGTTATTAAAATAATCCATCTGAATGATTAAAATTTGCAACAGAATGGAAATTTTGGAAATACATTAAAACTTGAATAAAGTAATCTTGATTAATTTTTAAATTAAAAGATATTCTAGCAATCTCTTCTTTATTGCCTTCAGAAAATCCTCCAAAGTTTCACTATGCAAATAAAATAAAAAACAACTATGTACTAATTTTCAAAAATATAACTCAATTATTTAAAAAAACAATTTTCCAGGCTAGTTACCAAAAATATTGGTTTTAAACATCAAAATTTAAGTTGCTGAAGAGCAAACAAAATTATTTATTCAACTGAGAGAAACTCACCTCTGAGAAACTAAGATTGTATTCCATTAAAATTACCAATGCCAAATACAAATAAACCTGCAAATTCTAATGGATTGTTACATTTAGGGATGGGGATGTAGCTCAGTGGTAAAGCACTTGCTTAGCGTGCACAAGGCCCTGGGTTCAATTCCCAACACCAGCACCAAAAAAAAAAGAAAAAGAAAGCATTAAAAAAAAAAAAGAAAAGAAAAAAGAGGGGCTGGGGTTGTGGCTCAGCAGTCGAATGCTCACCTAGCATATGCAAGGCACTAGGTTCAGCCCTCAGCACCACATTAAAAATAAGTAAATAAAATAAAGGTATTGTGTCTGACTGCAACTAAAATTATATATGTGTGTGTGTATGTGTGTATACATATATATATATATGAATTGTTACTTTAATTTAAAAGTTAAACAACCTAAAGTAAATTTATTACTAAATATTTTACTTAAATATTTAAATGCTACTAAATATTTTAATGCTCACCTTTTAGGAATAAATATTTATAGAGTGAGTTATGTGTTAGACATAAGATAATTATAAAGATCTAGTATTCTATCTCGAGAAAATTACATCCTGTTCACATAGGTTACAACATACTTTTTTCCTTCAATTCATGTTTTGTTAATCTTGAGTCAATTTGTTTTTTGTTTATTTTCTTTGTAATAACTAAGTAAAACTTAGGACATTGCAACCTCACTATGCAATGTCTTGGGTAATTCCAACCAAAGGATAATTGTATTATATATTTTCACTTTCAGAATCATTGTCTTGCTGCTTCATTAGGGATCGGAGAATGATGGGGGAATAACATATTTTCTGTTTGTTTACCTATACACTTAGTAAAGCATGTGACAATTATCCCTGCTTCTCTGTAAAACAGAAAAACTAAAATGTGTTGATTCAAACAGTCTCATATTATCATTGCAAGCTTTATTCCATATATTATTTATTTATTTAAAGCAAGAAACAAGGATCTAAAATGTCAACTAAATTATGTCTAAATCAGATTATTTATCATACTATAAGAAAATTGCATGTATAGATCATTCTTATTCAACAGAGTTTTCTTATAAGGTCAACTCTAACAAAATGAAAGGTATAAGTACCTAAATATATGAATGAAATAATGTGTGTGTGTATACACAGAGGTGTATATTATATAAAAATATATAAAGCATAAGAGTGGTCTACCTTCAACCCAATCTTCTCTAATACTAGAATTATAATATTATACATAAGCTTTATATAATTCTGGAACCTTAATGAAGTTAAATAATAACTAAATAATATTTAGTTTAGTGTTCAAATATTTTATTGCAAGTATGCAATAATTGGTAATTCCGGAAAGAAAACATTTAACTATTATACTTTCCCCCAAAGCATGCTGCATAAATAACAACTGTCCAGGAATATGCAGACTATAAAATTACTTTCTAATTCATTATATTCTTTTATATCAATCCCTGTCCAGCATTTGCATTCTCAGACCAAGTCTAATTAATGTTCCTTATCTTGAGCTCAAACTTGCTTGCTGCAATTTTTCTTAGTTCCATTTTCCCTGAGTTCTAAAGGCTACATATGGTTCATTTACTCTTTTGTTATCCTCTGCTCTGAGAGTAAATCAGAGAAAATGGCCATGATGTACTGCATGCATAAGAAAGGGAAAAAGAGAAGAGTAATTGAAAAAACACTAAACTTGACTCAAGAGATCAGAGTTTTAGTCCTACTCTGCCACTAACCTGCTACATGCCTTCAAGTCACATGATCTCCTAAATCTTACCTAGTATAATACTACTTGGACAAAACATGAAGTATGCTTCCAGAGATATTCAGGGGTCTACAAGAATGTGCTTACAAGTCCCTAACTTTGTCTACTTCTCCTCTCACTTCTTTTATGGTTCTTCATTTTTGCTCAACTAAACTATCTAAAATTCCTGTGTAGATCTATTTCTTAGGGTGCTAAGCACCTACTCAGTCAATTAGACTAATCAATCCTCTCAGAAAGATAAGAAAAGCATATTTCTAACTGCTTTCTTGAGATCCTACTTACTGCGGATAAAGGCTTAGAACATGCCTGATGTCTTCCTTCTTCTTCCTTATCAGGTTTGCTAAACTATCAGTCATCTTTCAGGACATTGCTAGATTTTTCACTAAACTTATGCAAATAAAGTTCTTTTGTTCCTTACTGTTCTTTTTCTTCCATAAATTAAAAATATTTACCATATTACAATGTTCTAGTTCTCAGTACTACCACTTTATTTACAGGACTTATCTGTCCCAAAACATTAATAATATACTTTTCTCCACATATGCTATAATGCTGCATAACACTTACCCAACATTCCATTCAGATTAAAAACTCTTTAGGAAAGACAGAAGTATACATCTCTAGTCTTCCTAGGAGGTTCTAAAATTAGCCATAATTTTAACCAATATTAAAAACATACATCCTTTTCTTAAATAAATTTAAGTGGAAATAAAACAAAGATTCACTGAGTGATAAAACGAACAACTAAATACAGTGAATAAGAAAATTAAAAAGTAATACTACATATACCTACCTAGCAACTGAGTACATAAAGAGAAAATCATTGTCTGGTGAGCCTGGGGTCTTGCTATAGTCTCGATATTTCTTCTGAGTAGTATTTTTTATATCTTTCATTACAGATTCCATTTCTTTACTTAAGTTGGTTTCTGACTACATAAATGCAAACATACATATAAAGTTTAGATTTATTTTTTTAGATACAGCCTAAAACTAGAATATTTATCAAATGAACATACAAGGAAATCAAAGTTAAAAAGCAAAATAGATTTAACATTATCTATCCACTATAAATATATTTAAAGTATAAAGATAAAAACAATCAGAAATAGATTATCTTATAATCTTTTGATTCTACATTGTTATCAATAATATTATAATCCAAATATGAATTATCCACACAAACTATATTCTAAGCCAATAAGTGGGTGTCATTAAAATACTATTTTGGAATAAAATTTCCATGTTTTCAGAAAACCTGACTTGCATTTAAGTTTATTTTTCAAAGAATAATATCAATGTCTCTTTAAGCATACTTTAAACATATAAAACTTTGGATTTACAAAAGAAAAATAATCACAGATTCTAAAATTTGTTTTGTGAATGCAAATTGCTAGGAGGTAAATCCTTCTGAGTAGGTTTAATATATGAATTTCTGTTTCAAAAGTCAGTAACTATCCACAGTTTTCATAAATTTATTACATAAAGCAGGCACAGTTGTCATTTCTCTCAGAATCCTACTAGATGAGATAAAAGATGGGTTCAATTACACAGAACCCCACAGTTAAGTAGACTGACTTATGGTCACACAACATTTTCTCTAACACACACACACACAGAGTAAATGCATAAATGTGTAAGTGTATGTGTAGATATATCTCCTTAATCTTAATACATCTAATGAGCATATTTTTATGATTATATTACAATGTATCTAAACATCATGTGCCATATAATGTTTCAATCAATGATTAGCCATGTGTACAATAGTGGTCCCTTAAAATTATATTGCTTAGTGATTATATAACCATATTAATTTATGTAAGTACACTTACAATGTTCACAATGACAAAATTACCAATTGACAATTTTCATAATGTCCCCATTGCTAAGCAACATGTGTCTCTATATAATTTGTTTTGCTTTGTTTTTAAATATTTCGACATTTTAAAAGGGCTTAACCGTATCTATACCTAATGGAAATCATGACCTGGAAGATGTATATTAAAGTTATAATGCTATAGGATAGGGAAAAGTCTAGCCTTCGTTGATAATTTCTTCAATTATTTTCATTTTTGTTTTTCAGCAAGCTCAAACAGAAGAGATAAACCTCTAAAAGCAATTTCTTCTAAATGTATACAAGTACAGAGTAAATTTTAAAAGGAAAGAAAATAAAGCTGAAAAGCAGAGCCAAGTTAACCAGGATATTTCTGCCTTACACTGATGCTTACTGGGAAAGCTCCTGGCCGTCCCTGCAGTTCCTCCACTTCCTTTATGAGATCTTGCATGCTTTTGTTACTAGGACGTTGCCAAAGGTTATTTTCCACATTGCTTCCAGGATAACAAGGAAGAACACTGTTAGCAAACTGCCTACAGAGGGGACACGTGAATTCTCCTTTGTCCACTGAGAAACCCTGAAGAACCTGGTCATTCTAAAAGATGAAACAAACACATAGATATATAATGCACACATGTACAGAAAATAAAAACTATACCACCAAATTTTTTAGTAAACTAATGAACCATTCAAAGAAAGACATTTCTAAAATATGTCATGTAAAAACAATCTCTTATTTAACTATGGAAATCACTTCTTACATCATAGTAATTATGTAACAGCTTGTCCTCACCAAAGAACTAACTGCCTAAGTATCTCACTCCACTCTCAGTATGAAACATTGAAAAAAATTATTCAATCAATCTGAAATATGGATATAAGATTTTTAAAAACCCTTTAAAAACCCACATAAGGTGAGTCACTTTCCACTTTCTCCAGACCCTGATTTTCAAAATTTATAAGAAAAAATGGAGTCAGACGCCGTGGTACATGTGGTACATCTTCTAGTTGATAAGGCCTGTCCTATTCTGCCTGTAAACTATGATCTATGTAATCCCAGAGGCTAAGGAGGCTAAGCAAAGAGGATCAAAAGTTCAAAGCCCGCCTCAGCAAAAGCAAGTCACTAAGCAACTCAGTGAGACCCTGTCTCTAAATAAAATACAAAATAAGGCTGGGGATGTGGCTCGGTCAAGTGCCCCTGAGTTCAATCCCTGGTGGAAAGAAGGGAGGGAGGGAGGGAGGGAGTAGTTTATCCAATGTTCATGTTTTTTGATGTAGGTTAGATAACTTTTGAAAGTAAATTAAGCATAAAAATAGTGTGATGTGTCTTCTAAGGTATCTAACTGCTAAACACAAGTAATTGAACAGCTGACTTAATGCTCATTTCACTGTATCCTGCAATGCAAGTATTTTAAATAAAAGAACTGAATTCTATTTTTTCACTTTTTGAAATTAATTTTTAAGTCCTTAAAAATGTAACAACATATCTTAGTCTAATTCTATAAATACTAAATTCCTATACATGTCAAATGCTGTGCCATGTAAGTATAGTTAAGATACATTTTCTCTTCTTAAGGTACTCAAAACTTAAAAGTAAATTTAAACAAATAAAATATATTGTGAGAAATGTGACAGAGAAGGCTTTCCAGAAAAGGAGAATTGTGAGCTGTTTTTAAGACACATAGAGTGCACTAGAAGGTTGAAGCGAGGAACCTGATCACAGAAGGGCATCCCGGATTAACCTTTCTCATATCCTTAAATCCAAAGAATGCTAGATTCTCTTCCTTGCTATAACTGAAACTAGATTCTTTCCTGAAGTCTCTCCAGAAGCCCTCTCCCTCATTCTCTAACATCCCTCATAATTCAGTATCCTCTCTAGTGCTGGCATGGTACTCCTGCAAGCTCATCTGTGGCTCACGTCATTTAGCCATGATACCATGCTTTTCCTTCCTTTTCCCTCTACCCTCACCATTGAAGACTCTGGTACCTAAATCAAACCTAATCATTACAAGTCCCGCCACCCTTCCATTCAGCATTAGTGAATAAATGCACAACCAATCTTATACCCTAGTCCCTTAGCTCCTTGACCTCAGAGCTTTTATGGTTTGACTTCTGTTCTACTCTAGCACCTATTAACCATGACCACAGCCTGTCCTATAGTGAACCAAAATTGTTCCTTATCTGAAGTACTAAATTCAAACCTCTTATATTTTGACCACCAAATCCTACTTCTTATTCCCTTCTTTTTCTTCTATTTGATACGGTCTGTTCTATTCTGCCTATAAACTATGATCTATCACTTCAAAAACTCTTGGTAATATTTCCCACTCCCTTCCGTATGTCCTTCCATGTTTCATGTCTAACAAAACCTTTACACAATACTAATGCAAAGTATAGCTTATCCAATTCTATATACAAACAGAATGCTATAAAGAAAAATAAAATACCTTCTGGCCACGTATGGATTCCATCTTCAACTGAGTCCTAAATATTATCTAGTAATCTTTCTCCAACATTCTGGGAAGCCTTCTCATATCCAATTCGAAGTTCCTTAACCTACCCTACCACTGCCCCCTTTTGAGAAAGAAGAGTTATGGCAATCCTTTAGCTCCTTGCCTTCTCCCACTAAAAGTACATAATTAATAAGTCTTTTCAGTTTTTTGTTGTTGTTGTTGTTGTTGTTGTTGTTTTTTGGTGTGTGTGTGGGGGTGGGGGGGTGCTGGGAATTGAACCCAGGGCCTTGTGCATGCAAGGCAAGCACTCTACCAACTGAGCTATATCCCCAGCTCCTTCCCTTCAGTTCTTCTCCCAGCCACTTTATTCTTCCTACCCTCGTTGCTGATCTTCCTAATTAGCTTCCCAACCACACTGCTACACAAGATCTAATGTATCTAGCACCTAACGTGAGACCTTGTTATTCCAAATCAAAATCTTTCAATGATCACCATCATCTTTCATCCTGATTCCTTCCTTCTCCCTATGTTCTATATGCAATCTCTCACCAAGTCCACAAGAGTATCCTTTTAAATGTATTTCAAATCTATAACATCTTCTCCATCTCCACTACCATAACCAAGTCCAAGCCACCATTATTTACTTCCTAAACAGTTATAATCACATTTTCTTCTTACGCCCCTTTAATCCCCTCTCTTATGCAACTGTCAAAATGACCTTTGTGGACATTTCATATTTCTATTTAAAAGCCCTTAATAACTTTCTCTAAAGAATCTATATGTAAAATTCTTTACATGGGCCACAAGGCCCTTTACAATCTGGTCCCAATTCTCTTTCCAGGCTCATGTCTCATCATTCATTTATCTTATTTCGTTAGATATTCTGGCACCTAGCAGATGTTCCAATAAGATCCTGTATATGCCTCATAATAATTAGCACATATACTGCAACTGTTGTGGACACAGGTCTTATTCATTATTGTATCTTCAATGACTATCATAGTACCAGAACATTACAGACACTGAACAAATATTTATTGAATGAACAATTGAATATAGGGGTATGGAAAATGTATAATGTGACTAAGAACTATTAGTGAACTTATTAATGCTGAGTTGATAAAAGATAATGTAATAGGCAAGCTCAGATTGTAGAGTACCTTCATAGAAAAGTTATTCCTAAACAGAAGAAAGAATACTATCTCCAAGAATAGAAAAGAAAGAGAAAGAATGGGTTAAAATATGGAATCATTTATTATGGAATTTTTAAAAAGTTAGGAAGCCAAGGAAATGTATGACAAAGAGACAGTTTTCCTGTTGACATAATATGAGACAGAATCTAATGGGAGAAAAAAGATCTTGGAGTTTAGGGGGAAAAAATGGGATGGGAGAGGCAAAGGTTTAGAATAGATGCTGAGGAGAAGAGAAGAAAGCAACCAAAGACAGACAATTGAATTAAAATGTATATTTACAACTCATGATTCTACATCACTATTATAGGAAATCATAAATTTGTGATAACAGTTCAATTAGTTTTATGATTTTTCTAGCAGGGCAAGCCTCCCAGATCTAAAATCAGGGGAGACAGATTAAATGACTAGTAAAGTCAGAATAGGCGTAATACAAGAGGTAATTTACTAGGAAAAATGTAAAGAGGGTAAAAAAAAAAAAAAAATCCTAGTGAAGTTGGGCACAATATAATCCCAGCAGCTCAGGAGGTTGAGACAGAAAGATCGAAGGTTCAAAGCCAATGTTAGCAAAAGTGAGGCAATAAGCAACTCAGTGAGACCCTGTCTCTAAATAAAAAACAAAATAGGTTCTGGGGATTGTGGCGCAATGGTCAAGTGCCCCTGAGTTCAATCCTTGATACCAAAAAAAAAAATCTAATGAGAGTGAAAATAAGAGAATTTGAGGAATCATATAATAAGATGATATGGTAGGATGTTAAAAAGGTTAATATTTCTAAGTAATTATACCAAAGTCTCAGTTGCAACAGGGAAGTCAACTGCTAAAGTCAAGTAAAAAAATGAAAATCACTCAAGCTGAAGAGGTGGAACTGGGATGCACATGTTATGAAGATGGAAAGATACACACATCTTTAATTTTTTTTTCCAATCAACTTACCCGTAATGATTCCATGTAAGATTTATGACAATCTATATGTAATGTGTGGCCACAGGTTTGTACATAAACACCTCCTTCCCAGCCAATTGATACTGCCAAAAGACAAGAACTCTTAAAAAAAAAAAAAGAAAGAAAGAAAGAAAAAAAAGTTAAAGATGTATAAACATGTTTAAATATATCCTCACAAACCTCTACATGATTTCATATTGTTATACTGATGTGGCATTTGTAGTTTTGTGATATAAATAAATATCTGACTAACCTGTCTGGACAGCCCTAAGGCAGTTATCTTTAAAATCAGAATACCATGAAGTTTCAGGCCCCAAATATGTACACTCATTAGGAAACAGAATACACATTATGAACTAGCCTTTTTCCATCCTGTAAAAGAGAAGTTCTCAATATTGTATATATTCACTATAAACTATATTGTTGATTATTTTATATGTTCTATATGGAACTTAATCTTTCTGTATTATCTGACATAACAACTGCTTTCCTTAAATGCCTACTTTCCTTTAGCATCCATAATGCTACTCTCTTAGTTTTCTTCCTTTCTCTTTAACTATTTTTCTTAGGCCTTCTTCCAAGACTCTTTTTCTTCACCTGCCCCCTCAATGTTTTTACTCCTCAAAGTTCTTTACTTATTGCTACTGTTCTTCTCATGAAAACATTCTCCCTAAGCAAGTAATTAGTAAGTTGAAATTACTACCCTGTAAGTCTGGATATCTTGTCTGGTTGTTTGAAACAAAATCTCAACAGCCTACCAGAAATTTCCAGTTTGATGTCCCTCAGTTAACACAAAATCATTGTCAAAAACTTAACATGGCATCTTTTCTATGAATCTTTCCCTTCCTCTCAGTTTAAAAACTCCACAATCAAATTAGTCACCATGTTAGAAAAATAAGAGTCATTCTACATCAGCCTTTAACCTGTATACCACAACATTGGGTTCCAAACCTCTTCTCAACCTATAGACAAGCTTAAGATTTTTCAAAATCTCTTGCTTGGAATTTCCACCATTTGGCCTCTGTCAAACAACATTTGGGCATGAACTTTAATTTACCCTCTAGAGCCTATAGTAAACAAATGGGCAGGCCAGAGCAATGTAAGGCCTAGATCTAACTTGAAAGAAAGACTTGAAAGCTATCGAATCAAATTTTTAAGCATGTTCTTACATGTTAAAATAAAATTTAAACCTTTAAATTTTATTTTTATTTTAGAGAAAAAGTTATATATGTAAAATCACCAAATTATTTATTTTTTCATGTTATTGAGACACAGTCTCACTATGTTGGCCCAGGCTATCCTCAAACTTGCAATCTTCCTGCCTCAGCCTCCCCAGCAGCTAGGATCATCCGTGCTTGAAATCACGCCCAATCAAAATGAACTTTAAATGATAGTGGAAAAAGTTCCAATTTTAGATCACAACTCTTCAAAAGTATGTAAAAGTTGAAAATATTTCAGAGTGCAAAATGCCTTCCCAGCAGATTTAAAGATGTGCAGTGACATAAATCAAATACTCACAGCAAGTAAGCAAGCTTCTACTGTTACAAATCAGAAAAACATCAGAAGGCCTACTCATCTCTGTTTTATGTTTTGGAGCTACTTGAAATTGAAGCAGATTTGGGTGTTAGATTATTTTAGAATGGTTAGTAGTCAGTTAACAAACAAGTTACTCTCTCTGTCACTATACTATAACAAGGTAATGAATCTATTTTTAATAAAAGTGGTTAGCTTTTAAAAATGAAAATAGTAGTCATTTGTCTATATAACTGATAGATATTTTATCTGAGTTTGCTACATTCAGAAGTAGAGGAAAGCATTTACTAGTGTGAGACTAATATTTTAGAGAATCTTCAACTATGTGCCTGCCTGTCACTGTAATCGGTACTTAACACTAAATCTTGACAACTTCTGTATTTACTAAGACTTCCTAGGGTAGGTGGAATTATCCCTTTTTTAAGAGAAGAATGAAAAATTTAGTAAGATCAATAAGCTCTAAGCAGTACAGCCCAAGATGAAACAAGTCTACCTGACTCCAAAGCTCAGGTTCTGTCCCTCTAATGTGTCACATCATCCATATATAACACTTCCAATTTCTATAGTGAATGTACTGTCTTACATAACTAAATTCTACATGTCAACTCTGTAAAAAGCATGCATTTGATGTAAAGAGAGCAGAATCTACAGTTTAATTCTAAAATCAATACCAGTGCCCAATAATAGTTACTCTTCTGTTCTATACAGTCTATTCTAGCTATAAAACTGGCATTCTGTTTAGTGTGATTCAGTAAGAAATCCAGGAAGCATCTACAATACAGAGTATGTTCGAGCCTCTGAGAGGATATAAAACCAACATAAGAAATGGCCTTAGACCTCCAAAGGCATATCATCTGAGGAGTATGTCATATATACACAAAATAACTATTATGAAAGTACACAAAAGTACTGATTTGGAATAAAAATCTCATAATCACTAACAGAAACACCAGAGTTCAGGTCCATTCAAATTTTCAAATTTCAGGTCAGAGTGCCCTTTTATTTCAAAAAAAAAAAAAAAAAACAGAACCTTTTTTCTAGAATTAATAACTACTCTGGCTTTTAAGACATACCCAGACCTTCTCTCCTTTATTTAATCATCCATTCCCTCATAATTATTATGCTCTTAAGTCTTGGCTATATTTTGATTAAATCAAAAATGTTTTTCTATTTGGCTTTGGCATTTATCTTTATCCATTTACTTTAAAGTGACTCAAGATGGTAAAATTAAAACCAGGATTATGACCAAAATATAAAATCAAACCAAAGATGTAGCAAAACTGCACAAAAGCAGAACTTAATATAATTTTAGAATGTCTTTAACAAGGCACACTGGTGCACACTGTAATCTCAGCAACTTGGGAGGCTAAGGCAGGAGGATCACAAGTTGGAGATCAGTCTCAGCTATTTAGTGAGACCCTATTTCAAAATTAAAAAATAGGCTGCAGATGTGGCACCCTGGATTCAATCTCCAGTATGAAAGAAGGAAGGAAAGAAGAAAATATTGGTCTTTGATTAGTCATGTAACATATGTACTCTGTAAAAAAAATTCAAACAATAAGGAATTTCAAAAGTGTGAAAATGTGTGTGCACCCTTGTGCAATATGCACAGAAGTTACTTACAAGCTAACCATAATTTAATTTTATAGCTTATGAAAATGTATGGAAGCATGGTCCTCATTTCCTAAACTGAACTGCCTTATAAAACCTAATCTAAGCCCCTAAGTAAGCTTCTGTGAATATTAAAAACATCATTTCACATTTCTGTTGACCTGTATTACAGGAAAGGTGATCTAAAAGAACCTCCAACCCAGTGAGTTACTGCAGGAAAGACCATTCTCTACAGATGAGAAAATCAAGTTTTAGAGGACTTTAAGGGATTTAGCCAGGCTTACATAGCTTAGAAACAGCAGAATTGGGATGAAATCTTTTTTTTTTTTTTTTTTTTTTTTTTCCTGGCCTAGGACTCTTTCTACTCTACACAATGCCTCCCTAACTAGAACCTCCAGAAACCACCATAAACTTTAGTCCAATATAGTATGGAACCACGTTATATTCTAGCTCTTATCATTACTGTCAGTTACTGTTTTTTTCTAATTAAGTATTCTGTCTCCTACCTATTCTAAGAGTTTCTTCTATTTAAACCAACAGATTTACAAGGAAGAAAAAAGTTCTATCTGGAAATCTTTCTAGATAATCATCTTATATGTAGCCTAACTAAAAATAATGTTTTATATTTTAAGTATTTTAAGCCTTTATCATACGTTTACTTAAATCACAAGACACAGTTGATTCAAAATGATAGCACAGGAAAGGAAACTCCATTTGATAATTCAGACAGGAAACATCAATGATATAAAAATTTTTTTAAAATGTTAAACTATATCTTCAAAGCCTTGAAACACTTCTGAGTACTACAGCATCTAGATGCAAGAACTGGAAAAAAACCTACTAAGTTCACAACAAGGCATGACTACCCCTCCATTATATTTTAGAAGTACTATAATGAGATTTTATTGTATATCTTTAAATGAAAGTAAAAGGAGGCAAAAATCTTGGCAAAATAGTCACACTTTATCTAATTCACACCATATCTAAATTTTTTTAGAGTTAATACCCATTCTTCCACTAAACTGAACTGTGAATACTTTACAATGAACATTTAAAATAAACCTATCACATTTATTGCTTGAAATTTTTATTTATTAACAGATTTTCATTTCTAGTCACATATTAACTTTTCCTGGTAAGCTACTTTCAGATTTGAAATCAGAATGACATTTCATTAGAAATAGAAAATATAAAATAAAACTCTGGAGGGAAATCACCATCAACTTTGCAGTTTAAAATATTGTTCACCAAAAAAGTACTTACATCCTTAAAATAACGCTGTAATAATGAAAGCCTCACATCATGAACTGCTGCACATGTGTCCCAAGGGTAAATCTGCTCCTCTTCAGTAATGGGCAATTTTTTTGGTTCAACATTATCACGGCACTGCCCCAAAACTACATCAACATAGATTAAAAAAAAAAAAAAAACTCATTAAGTAACTAACATACCTGATTCTCCAAGAAAAGTCAGATTATTTACCACAAACTACACTAAATTTTCCACTATTAAAATATTCTTAGGACCTTAAAAAAGAGTGGCATTTGAGTTTTCTTCTACAGAGTAAATAAAGGTACAAATATGTCAATATTTACTTTTCAAGATAACACAAAAGTATGCATGGATAGATGGTTTCTTAAGTATATGTCCACTGAAAAACCCTAAACAAATTTAATTCCTAAATACACTATTTCTCACAAAAAGAAAGCAGAGATCTTTGGAGAAAGCGCCTTTGTCCAGGATTGGGGAAAAGCTCAAAGTGAGCCTAGAATTGTGAACAACAAGGAAGTGGTTCAAACACTGAGAAGGCAGTTTCATGAGAACCTGATAGAGTTTAGACAGGTCAAATTTGAGAAAACGAAGTATCAATAAGAATAATGACAGTTAACAGATGACATATTCTTTGGTTAAGGCAAGGAACACCAAGTAAAATGGTAAAAAGATAAACAGGTCTTAGAATATTATTCTACCGATTACTTGCCACCTTAACCAAGGGATCAAATTTGGTTGGCATCACCAAAAATGGGACAAGTGGACATTGTGTGCCTTCTAATGTGAAGCCAATGGAAGGAACATCACTTAGGTAATACCTTTGCCAAAAATGTTTAACTTGAATCTAATAATGAGAAAACAATCACACAAATCCAGATAATAACACATCTATGGAACAACCAACCTGGATTCTTTGAAATTTTAATAAAGGGCTAGACAGACTATTCAAAATTAAATGAGATTAATAAGAAATGGCAACAAAAAGCAATACATGATCATTTATTAGATCCTGGATCAAGAAAAGGAATATCTGTTATAAAATTAATATTAGTTCTCACAAGAAATGCCAAAAGGTGATGTAACAGATAAGTCAATTAGCTTGAGTTACTCCTCCTACAATGTATACATACATCAAAACATCACCCTGTACCACATAAATATAAAGACCTATTATTTTTCAAATAAATAAGAAAAACAAAATATTTGGACAACTGAGTGAATTTGAATCGTCAGTACATTGTTATTAATATTAAATTTATTTGGTATAATGGCGCTATGTCTATGTAAAATATCCTTGTTCTTAGGAGATACATTCTGAAATATTTAGGGATATAATGTTATGATGTCAATAATTTTCTTCTAAAAAAGAATGTGTCTGTGTGCATATGTGTCTGTCGGTATATCTCAGAATACTAAAGAAAAAAATCATGGCAATATGGCAACAACTGGTGACTATAGGTAAATGGTATTCAACTTTCTTAGAGACAAAATTTTTCAAAATGAGAAACTAGAAAGAGGTAGGTAGCAAAATAAGGGGAAAACAATGCTAAGATTTTATAATTATAAAACATCAAAGCACAAAAAAAGAGAATAAAAAATAAACAGTACCACATGTTACTATTAAATTCAATAACATGGGGAAAACTGTTCTCAGAGAAGAGAATTTCAGGTGAACCATAGTGGGCCATGACTTTGGGAAGGATTTACAGTAGAAGCGCCAGCAGCAGCAACAAAGTAACAGAAGCAGATGAATGCTAGCAGCTAAAATATAATCAAGATGACTTATAATTCTTTACTATACTGATAGGCTCAGTTTGTTAGGATTTTGTTGAGGATCTCTGCAACCTATATTCATAAAGAGTATTTATTGATCTATCTTTGTTCTTCTTGTGATGTCCTTATTTGGTTTTGATGTCACAATAATGCTAGCATCATAGGAATGATTAAGGAAGTGTTCCTTCTTTTCTACTACTTGGACTAGTTTGAGAAGAATTAATATTAATCTTTAAGTGGTTGATAGAATTCACCAGTAAAAAATATATTAAGAGTTAAAAATAACTCTTGTTGAATTCTATATAATTCTCCTAGGTTTGTTTGTTTTATAGTGTTGCTCAAGTGTTCAGTTGTCTTTTGGGTCTTCTATCTAGCTATTCTATCCACCAAGGTCTCCAAACATTACTGGAAAAGTGTTTCTTCCTTCGATTCTCTCAATTTTTTACTTCATATATTTGTGGGCTCTGTTGTATGGCACAAGATCAGCTTATTAATATATAAAATCCTTCTTTGTTTCTTACAAATAATTATAATGTGTTGTTTATTTTGTCTCATGTTAGTATAAAGCTTTATATAGTAAAGCTTTCTTTGGGTTACTATTTGCATGAAATATCTTCCCATTCTTTCACTTTCAACCCACTGGTGTCATTAGATCTAAAGTGTAGAGAGCATATAGTGTTATCACAATTTTTCATCCATTCTGTCCATCTCTGCCTTTTACCTGGATAATGTAATGCATTCTATTTCAAGTGATCACAGATAAGAAAGGACTTAAATTCTGCCATTTTGTTATTTGTTTTCTCTTATTTCATAAGTCATTCATTACTTCCTTCTTTTGTGATTAAGATTTTTCTAGTACATCATTTTGATTCTTTTCTCATTTCTTTTACTTATGTGATGTGTTTTAAGATTGTTTTTCTTTATGACTACCTTAGGGAATACAATTCATATCTTCATGTCGAAAAATCAAACTTCAATTAATATCTACTTAGTTTTTTTAGGGTCATATCAGTTTATGAGTTATGTGTGTGCAAATTATAATAAATAATGTAATGATATTTAAATTTTCCATTTAACTTTTCTGCTCTCTGATCTTGTGAGAAGGCAGCATGAGTTGTTTTATATTTTTAATTTATTGGTTCTTTTTAGTTACACATGATAGTAAATCCATTTTGATATAATTATACAAGTATGGAATATATCTTAGTCTAGTTAGGACTCCATTCTTGTGGATGTACCTGATGGTGCGATTCACTATGATGTTTTCATATATGTACATAGGAAAATTATGTTAGATTCATTCACTGTCTTTCCTTTTCCTGTCCCATCTTCTCTTCTCTCCATTCCCCATTGTCTAAATGACTGAACTTCTATTCTCCTGCCGCCTCTTAGTGTGAGTTAGCTTCCATCCACATGTCAGAGAAAACATTTTACCTTTGGCTTATTTCACTTAGCAGGATAGTCTTCAGGCCAATCATGAACTAATATCTACTTAGTTTTACCAGTATACAAAAAATACCCTTCTTTACAGCTCCATTCCCTACCCACCCTCCCCTTTATGGTTTTTATCTGACTGCTTACACCTTTCTACAAACAAGAACACTGATTTTCAGTTTGAAAATCTAGATATGCAGTTCTTTTCAGATTTAGTTTCTTCATATAAACTCCTGTAGAAGATAGATTAAACGGATTGGACTAAATTACATAAGAAATATCATTACTTCAAAATACTTCAAATGGGAGAGGATGGGTAATATCAAGACAAATCCTTAAAAAAAAAAAAACTTCAAATTTTTAAAATATTTTTTAATGACAGGTTGGCAATGTATATATCCTTAGGCTATTTCACAATTAACTGGCTCTATCTGGGTATGGTGGTACATGCCTGTAATCCCAGTGACTCAGGAGGCTGAGGCAGGAGGATCATGAGTTCAAAGCCAGTCTCAAAAACTTAGCAAGGCCCTAAGCAACCTAGTGAAACCCTGTCTCAAAATTAAAAAGGGCTAGGGACATGGCTTAGTGGTTAAGTACCCCTGGGTTCAATCCTAGTACCAAAGAAAAAATTACTGGCTCTAGTAGCCAAACAAACAAGAAGAAAACTTTCAGAACATTTCAGATATAATTAAAATACTTAAACTGACAATATTTATGGATTTATAAAGCTTTCAAATTTTATAACAATTAAATTAACAAGAAAGCTGATCATGTTATTGGACACTTAGCACTGGTGATATATGATCCCACCTTAACAAAAATGAACAACAACAACAAAAAAAAAACTGTGTAACATATATAAGATCTCTGGTGTTTTGTTTTGTTTTGTTTTTTTCCATTTTATTGATTCTTCTAAATTATACATAACATTGGGATATATTTTGACATAACTATAAAGGCATATAGAAAATAATTTGCTCTAATTCAGTCCCTAGTACTTCCCTTTTGCCTCCCCTCCACACTCTCCATGTTCCCTTCCCTCTACTGATCTTTCTGCCATTTACTTTCAGGGATTCTTGTTATTGCTGTTGTTTAGTGTCTTATGGATATACATGATGGTGAGATTCACTATGGTATACTCATGTATGTGCTTAGGAAAGTTATGTTAGATTCATTCCACTGTTCTTCCCTTATCCAATCCTTTCTTCCTTTCCCTCAATCTCCTTCATCTAGTCCACTGACTTTCTTTCTTCTATTTTGATAGAATCCCCATACCCTTTATCTTTCTCTTTCTCTCTCCCTCTCTCCCCACCCCACACCTCTTATTTTGGATTTGCTTCCATGTATCAGAAAAATTTTTCAACCTTTGAATCTGGATTACTTCACATAGCATGACAGTCTCCAGTTCCATCCATTTACCATCAAATGTCATATTATTCCTTCTTAGTGGTTAGTACTCAATTGTGTATATATACCACATTTTCTTTATCCAGTCATCTGAAGGATACCTAGGTTGGTTCCATAGCTTGACTACTGCGAATTGTGCTGCTATAAACACTGTGGTGGCTATATCCCTACAGTATGCTTATTTTAGATCTTTTGGATATATACTGAGGAGTGGGTCATATCAGGGTTCCATCTCCAGTTTTCTGAGGAATCTCCATACTGCTTTCTAGAGTGGCTGCAATAATTTACAGTCCCACCAACAATGTAAGAGTGAACCTTTTCCTCCATTTTCTAACACTTATTATCATTTATATTCTTGAAAATTACCATTCTGGCTGGAGTGAAATGAAATCTCTTTGATTTGCATTTCCCTTACTGCTAGAGATGTTGAACTTTTTTTTATACATTTGCTGGCCATTTGATTTCTTCTTTTGAGAAGCGTCTATGTAGTTATTTTGCCCATTTAATAACTGGATTATTTGGGGAGGTTTTGGTGTTAAGTTTTTTGAGTTCTTTATATATTCAGGATATTAATGTCCTGTCCAAGGAGCAGGTAACAAAGATCTTCTCCCATTCTGTAAGCTTTCTTTTTGTGCTCTTAATAGTTTCCTTTGCAGTGCAGAAGCTTTATAATTTCATGCCAGTCCACTTATCAATTTTGGGGTAGGAGTCTTCTTAAGGAAGTTGGTTCCTATGTCAATATGGTGAAGTGTTGGACCTATGTTTTAATCTAGCAGTTGCAGAGTTTCTGGTCTAATTCTTAGGTCTCTGATCCACTTTGAGTCAACTTTTGTGCAGAGTGAGAGAAAGTGTCAACTTTCATTCTTCTACATATGGATTTCCAGATTTCCATTTGTTGAAAAAGTTATGTTTTCTATAATATATGCTGGGGAACCTTTATCTAGTATCAGATAACTAACTTTATTTATGTGGTTTGTCTCTGTGTATTCTATTCTACTCTATTCCATTGGTCTTCATGTTTGTTTTGGTGCCAGTACCATGCTATACTTCTTATCTTCAATTTTTATTTTATTTTCAATTATACTATAGTTCTGTAGTATAATTTGAGGTCTGGTATTGTGATGCCTCCAGCATCAATCTTTTCACTCAGACTGCTTTGGCTATTCTGGATCTCTTATGTTTCCAAAATAACTTTAGAACTGCTTTTTTTAGTCCTGTGAAGAATGTCATTGGTATTTTAATGGGGATTGCCCTGAATCTGTATAAGACTTTTGATAGACTGGACATTTTGATAATATTAATTATGCCTACCCAGGAATATGATGTCTTTCCATCTTCTAAGAAGAACAAACCAACACCAAAGTCAGTAGTACACCAGAAATAATTAAAATCAGAGCCAAAATCAATGTAATTGAGAAGAAAAGAAAATACAAAGTCAACAAAGCAAAGAGTTGTTTTTTTTTTTTGAAAGGATAAACAATATTGCTTGGGGCACAAATATTTGAAGTCATTATATCTTATTGCCGGATGATTCCATCAACCAGTATGAAGGGACCTTCTGATTAATTTCAGCTTGAAGTCCACTTTGTCTGATATAAGAATGGCTAACCCTGCTTGTTTGTAATTTTAATTTGCATGGTATATCTTTTGCCATCCTTTCACCTTCAGTCTGTGGATATCTTTGTAAGGTGTATCTCTTGCAAACAACATATTGTTAGGTCTTGGGTTTTAATCGAAGCTGACAATCTATGACTTTTTTTTTTAGTATTTATTTTTTAGTTGTAGTTGGACACAATACCTTTATTTTATTTACTTATTTTTATGTGTTGCTGAGGATCAAACCCAGGGCCTCGCACATGCTAGTTGAGCACTCTACACTGAGCCACAACCCTAGCCCCCAATCTATGTCTTTTAATTGAAGAGTTAAGATCATTTACATTCAATGTTTTTAAAGAGAGATTTTTTTTTCCTGGCAATTTGATTCATTTTGTGATATTTAATTCAAACTTGGTTCTCCTTTAACTGCATTTAACATAATGCATCTTCCCTATGCTTGTTTACATTTTTATTTTCCATTTCTTCTTCCTGAAATATTTTATTGAGTATGTTTTGTAGTACAGGCTTTGTGGTTATGAATTCTTTTAGTTTCTGTTTATCATAGAAGGTTTTTATTTTCAATTCTGAAGGATAATTTTGCTGGTTGTAGTAATCTTCGTTGGCACCCATTTTCTTTCAGAGCTTGGCATATATTATTGCAAGCCCTCCTGGCTTTTGAGGTCTGTGTTGAGAAATCAGTTTAAATCCAAATTGTCTTATCTCTAAATCAAACCAGTCAGTTTTTCTCTTGAAGCTTTTATAATTCTATCCTTATTTTGTATATTAAGCATTTTCATTATATGTGTCTTGGAGTAGTTCTACTGCAATTCTGTATATCTGGAGTTCTATATGCCTCTTATATTTGAATTTCCATCTCATTTCTAATATTTGGAAATTTTTCCTAATATTATTTCATTGAAAAGATTGTGTACCCTTTTAGTTTGTATTTTGGAGCATTCATCTACCCAACAATTCTTAAATGTTATATGTTGATGTAATCCCAGATTTCTTGAATATTCTTCTGGTCAATGTCTTTTAACATCTTTTCTTTATGGTCAACTTTATCTTCAAGATTATTATTATTATTGAAAATCTATCTCTGAAGTGGTATAATCTTTTGGTGATGCTTCCACTGATTTTTTGATTTGGTTTATTAAGTCTTTTATTTCCATTGATTCTTTTTCAAAATCTCTATCTCTTTATGACCTCTCTATTAAGGTCTTCCAACATTCATGTCCAGAAAATTGAGATAAAACCAGATAAAGAAGCTTGTCATTTGGATCAAATCAATACTGCTAGATGAAGTTCTAACTAGAAAAAGATATAACTTTCATCTGTTTATTTTTAATTTCTTGTATATACCTTGGCTCTAAAATGTTCCCACTGAAAAACTGAGTTTACCTGATGATGCTTGTAACAATACAACCAATCCTGTAGGTCGGTCTTCTGAGGAGGGGCCACTCTGTCCGCAGATAACACAATCATATACTGCCTCAGAAACCTGTGGTTCTGCTGTGGTGATCTCCATAGGAATATCATTTTCAGGAGAATCTGCAGGAAAAACAAATTAAAACTCCTAATTCCTAAGAAGAAAAGCCCATTTAAATGAAAAAATCCATTTAAAATAATTTTAGCTTCAATACCAATAAATTTATATAGTAATAAAAGTATGCCAAAAATTATCTTTCTCAAGTAAAATGTATACTCAGAAAAATTTTGGCAAAAATTACAAAGAATTGATATAAAGACTTCAAATAATATATGGCTAAATATACCTGATATATCATTCATAGTTTAAAATTGATATCAAATACACAGAGGCAAAAACACTGGTATCAAAAAAAATTTTTTAAATAGCATTTTAAGAAAAGAAGGGGAGGATTGTTTTAATTTTCTTTGAGGCACTTAAGGGTGGGAATTTACAATAAGATGGGAGCTAAAAAACTATTTCTTCCTTACTCCAATTCTAGTGATTGTATCTCATAAATAAAAATATATAGGGAAATCATTACATATGACCATAATATATATTAGTAAAGCAAAACTATTATAGAAAATATCAGTAATCCTCTGGTGATGTAATGTCATTAACAAAAAGAAATAAAATATTTACACAATAATGATTTACAAATGAAGGCACTTAAATTCCTGATTAGTGAAACTGCCCATAGTGGCAAAGAAATGTGTAGAGGGAATTGGGAAGACCAAGGACACAGAAGTGCTTTATTAAATTCTTAAAAGATAGATGCATATCTAAATAAATATGTAAAAATACATGACAGAAATAGAAAAAGGAAGATGTCCTTTTGATATTTTAATAATAATTCATGAAGGTAAACATACATCTGATATTTATTTAGAATCAGAGAAGTAGGAATCTAAAATAGATCTTTGGTTAATGCCTAGTAATGACAGAAGTGAAAATAAGCCAAAAGAGAAATTAGAGAAAAAAATAATAACATGAATGAATCAGAACCAGAAAGCACATATCTATGTAAATAAGATTAGTGAGTTAAAATAAAAAGAGGTCTAGTCTTGAAAGGCATATTATTATATCTGACACATACTTTTAGATAAAGCAAAGTATTACTGAGGTTAAAAGTAAAGAGTGATCTCATTTGGTAAAGCAATCAATGACCCTAGCCCCAAGAAAAAGAAAGAAGAAAGGGAGAATTTGTATGATTATATGAACACAGATAAAAGCACTCAAGTACACAAACCAAAGTGTAATCACCAGTTATGAAAGAAGAAAAAACACAAATTAGAAACATTTATGTTAACTCCTGTATATCATATTATATGTGTGTGAAGATGAAATCTTGGATTTAAAAAAGATTTATATACAAGGATTTTCATGATACTTTAAGGTTTTAAAAAGGAAACAATGGCACAGCTTTTGTACAGTATGATTTCATTACAGGAAAAATAAATACAAACAAAATTCATTTATGTATGCAATCATATGAAGCAATAAAAAGGTTTACAAGGATTTATCTCAGAGAGTAAGATTAAAAAAGGAAAACAGGAAGATATGATTAGTTTTGCCCACATATACCTTTATATGATCTTATTTCACCTATGTTAAGGATATATTATGTTGGGGGGTTTTGGGTTTTTTTGTTTTTGTTTTTGTTTTTTTTTCTTTTTTAAAACTGTTTTGTCTTGGTACTAGAGTGTATCTTATATGTGGAACAATAACCAAAACGTTGTTTTTTTATTTATTGGTCTATGTTTTGTAATATACTATATCACAGACGACTGACTTAAAATGGCAGACCTATTAACACCAATCCTCAAAATTAGCAATTTTATATTTCAAAATCAAGCAATGTAAACACTATTCTATCCCACTCTAATTTCAGTGAAACAATTATTCAAATAGGTTCTACTTTGTAATGAGAATAAGAATTTTGCAAATTAATACAACCAAATTCAAAACTACATTGAAATATTTTATAAAATAACATTTTTACAACATATAAACAACAGTCACAGGTTCATAGAAGTATATATTATATGCATTCCAATGCCACAAGTAAGTCAATCCTACCTAAAAAGTTCACAGCTATAACTGATTCCAAGGAAGTGTACAAACATAAAAGAAAACTTAATTTAGTATAAAATCATAGTCAAGTGTCCCAAAGTAGCTAAAAGATACATCAGGAAATAAGAAGCAATTAAAGGTCCAAAGATCATTCTCTTTCATAAAATAAGAAACATCTCAACTAAAACTAAATCAAGATACCACTTCTTTCACCTACAAAATTACAACATATGCTAATGACAAGGATGTAGAGAAACTCACACATTGCTGGTGGGAATACAAAATAGTACAGACTCTATGAAAAGAATCTGGCATACCTCATTAAAATAAACACACATCAGCTACTCAGACCATCTTTCAAGGATCATGAGGCAAATGAGGAAAACTAGCAACATGAAAGACCGATATAAATTTTAAAAGCAATTCAGAAAGCTAAAAGATAATTTAGAAAAGAAAAACCCAAACACATTCAGGAAGTTTTCAGAGAAGACTTCCACATACAAAAACAAGGTAGTGAAGGCACTGAAGAAAGGAAATCTCTAAGTGTATAAAGCAAAAAGAACAAATGATAATAAGACACAAAAATTTAAAAGATCCATCATCCAACTAGAATCCCTCAAAAGAAAGAAAATTTAAAAGTATTATAATATTTCTCTATAATAAATTACCCCAAAGCTTAGTGGCTAAACATAACATGTATTTGACAGTTTCTGAGGAAGAAAGTATAGAAGCAGCTTAACTATATGGTGTTAGTTCAGTTAGGATCTCTCCTGAAACTGCTGTCAAACTATTGTGTGGGCTGGGCTTGGTGACACACACCTATCATCCCAGCAACTCAGGAGGATGAGGAAGGATGATCGCAAATTTGAGGCCAACCTCAGCAACTTGCTCACTGATGTGGCTGTTGGCAAGAGGCCTCAGTTCCTCTTTGTGGTTCTGCTATGACATGGCAGCTGGATTCCCCAGAACAATTAATATAAAAGAAAGAAAGCAACCAAGACAGAAATCATAATGTCTCTCATACCCAAGTTTTAGGAATAATATTCCATCTCTTCTGCCACACTTTGTGGTCATAAAGAATAATTTTGATACATTGTGGGAGAAAAGTACATAAGGCATAAATGCCAGGAGATGGGGGTCACTGTGGGCCATCCTAGAGGATGATTATATGAGTGATCAAAAAATAACAGTAAATTTTTTCTCAGATCTTCAGATATATGAATCTACAGACTGGAAAGACTAAGGAGGAAAGACAAAGTTGTAAGAAAGAAGAAAACAAAAGCACATAGAAACAAATCATAAATTTTCAGATTCAAAGAATCAGATGATCAGGGCTGAAGTTGTAGCTCAGCAGTACAGCACTCGCCTAGCACATACAAGGCATTGAGTTTGATGCTCAGCACCACATAAAAATAAATGAATAAAATACAGGTATTGTGTCCAACTACAACTAAAAAAAAGTATTTTAAAAAATAACAGAATCAGATGATCATAAAAGGATCATGGGAAAAGAAAAATATATATTCACCTACAAAGATATAAGAATAAGATTCCCACTAGAATTTTCATCAAATGAATAGTAAAAGACAAGAGAGTGATGCCTTCAATTGTGACAGAAAATATAATCAACCTGGCATTCAATATCCATCCAAATGAATAATCAAGTGTGACAGCAGAGTAAATTCTCTTTCAAAGATATAAAGAATCAGAATGCCTCTATAAGAATATTATTAGAAATATACTTGAGGCTATACTCCAATAAGACATGACCAAGAAAAGAGATGAGAGACAGAAAACCCTAAATTGATCCAACAATAAGAAAATCTCAAGGTAATGGCTATGTAGCATACTATGGACCCTACTGGAAAAGTATTTCATGCAAAGGACAGAATGACTGATTGGGCAGAATGACAGAGACAGAATAAAGATAGTGCAGTTCTTGGAACAATACAATTTTATTGATTGGTTAGTTGATTGATTGGATATTCAGGACTGAACCCAAGGACACTTTACCTCTGAACTATATCCCCAGTCCTTTTTAATTTTTGAGACAGGGTCTTGCTAAGTTTGAGGCTAGTCTAAACCTGCAATCCTCCTGCCTCAGCCTCCCAAATCACTGGATTATAGACATGCCCCACTGCATCCAGCTATAATTTTTAAAATAAAATCAAAAGGGGCAGTTGAAAACTCCAGGATTAAAAAAAAAAGACACTATAACAAAGTCCTGGCCCAAATACAAACAAACATTAGCTGATATGGGTTTAGGAATCAAGCAGCTATAAGAAAAGAGACTTTAAAGACAGTCTCCTTAAATCAAGCCACTTGGATTCAAAAACAGTAAATAAATCCTAGTGTATTACTTAACCCTGTACTCATAACATCCAAAGAGTCATACTAATGTAACTGTTTTAGAGACAACCTTTGGATGGAAGACTCCATCCATCCAAAGTCTGTGACAGCAAAACAAAATGTCAGCAATCTTGACAATTTAAAAGTAAATAAGTAACTAAAAAGTAGGTGATAAAAAGCAAGAGATAGAGATGAGGAATGGAAAAATGAAAAAAGCATAGGAGTGATTATTAGTTCATTTTATATGAAAGGGTATCAAGTTAGTACTGTAAATAGATAAACCCTCTTCTTCCATATGAGAAAGTCAACTAATACTAAGTAAATTCCACAAACAGAATTCGAGTATTCTTTCCATCAAAGTTATGACCTGAACATAAACCCCAATGTCAATCATTTAGAAAACAGTTGGCTATATCTGGACTGACCCCATCTTCACACCTCTTCTGGCCATTGGATATGTACTTATGTGTACAAAAATGAATGGAAACAGACTTTCACTATTTTAAGTGTATTTCACTGGGATTTTAGTTTAGAAGTAAGAAAGCTTACCAATAATCATAAGTATGCTTTAAAGTTAAAGGTTAATAAAATAACTATAGGTATGCTTTAAAGTTAGAAGTGAATAATAGGTCAGGAGACATGTAGTCTAGTTACATCACCTAGCACCTAGTGATTGAGGTGAAAACATAAAAGCTTAATCATGATTGGCTAAGGTTATAGAAAAAAGATTCTGAACAATCAACGTATGTCAGAAAAGATTGTAACTCTTAAAAATTATGTAAATCAAAGAAGTTCGGGCTTTGAAGCTATCCATTAACTACCTGAAAAAATACCTGTAAAAAAGGTATATAAATAAAGATCCCTCTAGGGGCAAAAAAAAAAAAAAAAGAATGGAAATGTAAACACATGTTTGAATGCACATATTTGTAAGGATTTATTATAGTTAGAAGTGTCCCACAAAAGCTCCTGTGTGAGACAATGCAAGAAAGTTTAAAGGAGAAATTATTGGGTTATGAGAGCCTTAACCCAATCAGTGAATTAATCCCCTGATAGGAATTAACTGAGTGGTAACTGAAGGTAGGTAGGGTGTGGCTGGAAGAGGTGGGTCACTGTGGGTGTGCCTCTGAGGTGTATATTTGGTGATCTGAGCTTAGTCTCTCTCTGCTTCCCTCCACCAGACATACTCTTCCACCTCAATTCCCAAGGAATGGTGTCTGCTGGCTGTCAATGGACTGAGATCTCTGAAACCATGAGCTCTCAAATACACTTTTCCTCCTCTACAATTGTTATGGTTGGGTCTTTTAGTCACAGCAGTGAAAAAGCTAACCTACTTGTTAATTACTTATTTACTTTTAAATTGTTAAGGTTGCTGACATTTTGTTTTGCTGTCACAACTTATTTTCTTTCATCAATTTTGTCTAAAAAGAAAAGGAAATAGAAAGAATCAAGCTTGCAAAGAACCTCTGTAAGCAAGCAAAGCAAAACAATCACTGTAATGTAAAAAGTCATGGAAAGGAGTATCCTGGTTAACTGAAGGTTAATTTAATCCATTCCTTCAATGTTTGTAAAAGGTTACTCAGAGCAACCTACCATCATACAGAACATGGCATTCCTTCTTATTGTAGGAATCTAAATGCTAATCTGAATGAAAACAAGAAGTGTGCCTTATCTTTAGCAATATCTCAGAAATCTGAGGGACAGTTTAATAGAAAAGAGGGAACATACTCTCTATGTACTGCTACCAACAGGAAGGTCTTCCTCACAATGGCAGCCATTCAACCACAGAATGAACTGTCTATAATAGAGATCAATCCTCCATCATTATATTGTTTACATAAAGACTAGAAATCACATGTCTGTAATATTTAAAACTTGTGGAAGATTGGTCAAGATCATCCCTAATGTAATGACTATGAGAGTTCTAACCTAAAAAGTTTTGACTTACCAACATCCATTGCAGTTTCCATAAAGCTTTTCTGTCGTGAAGCAAATTCTGCAAGCAATTTCTGTTGTCTCTCTCTAGCCTTTTGTCGCCTAGATTAAACAGAAATAAATTATGAGTACCAAATGTGCTTAAAACTAATCTACTATCTTTGAGTAGTATATAATGTATGAAAAGATCCTTGCAAATAATGGAGAACAATCTATTTTCTACATTATGCATTAAATTTCATGTAAGACTTGACTCTCCCAAGGATTCTACTGCTTTAGGCTTCAAACTCACTCACTCAATAAGTAAAAATAAAAGCCAAGATTTACCTTTAAATGTGATCTAATAATTAAGGTTGGTAGAAAATTTGATTTCCAACAAAACAATGTCCTAAGTATATGTATTTTGATAGGAAGAGCAAGAGTCTTTTTCAGCAAGGGACTAGCAATTTAACCTCAGGCACAAATGACAGTAAATCAGTTGCTATAAAAAGCTATGAGGTTTATATATAAACAAAATCTAAAAGATAAGAATAGTCAGATTTATTTTTATCCTAAAAATAGGTTTCCCCTAATAGAGAATGAGCAAAAGCCAGTAAATGTCCTAGTTTCTACTAAGACATAGTCCAAGTTTAATTTGGCTTGTATGAAGCAAAAGAATATGAAACAAACACAACAGAGAATAAAAACATATCCCAAGTATAAATATTCATTTGAATTAATTTACTATGGTCTCTTTATTATTTATACCTTATCTACTTTTATCTTCTTTCAAAGAAGATTTTAATTTGAGAGTGGTTACAAAAACAAAACAAAAAGATAATACAATAGGACCATAAAAATAAGAAAATGAAAGTAAACTAATAAAGAAAGCTGATAGAATTGAACACTAACAATACTAGTGAACACAAAAATAATTGTTTTTAGTTATATATGGACACAACAATATCTTTATTTTGTTTATTTTTATATGGTGCTGAGAATCGAACCCAGTACCCCAGAAGTCAGAGGCAAGCTCTCTGCTACAGAGCCACAAACCCAGCCCCGGGAGCATAAAATTTCATACCCAATTAAAAAAGGTTAAAATGGTAATTTAAAAAGAAGGAGGAAAGAAAAAAGTTTTAAAAAATAAGTTTTATATTAACTCCTTAGGAAAGATAACATTTTAGTTGAATGAAACTCAAAGAGGAACTGATCACAGCCCATGAAACAAAAAACATAATAACATAGTAGACTAAATTAAAATAATTTCTTTTAATAGCCCTTTATGATTCCTGTACACTATAAAAGACAAAGTATTATGTTAGATGGAGATGCTATATAGTCATTTCTATGAAAAACCTCAAAGTATTTTTCTATAAATCTGAAAGATATTCAAAGACATAATAGAATTTAAAGGAATAAAATGCAAACAGTGATTTTTTAGATTATTCACACATCTGCTCCCATTAAATTAAAAGAGATAATCAGGAACTATAAAGTACTGTGGTCCATCTTATCAGAAGTTACATACTTTTGCCAATAATGTTCAAAAGATTTTTTAACATTTCTTTTCTAACATTTACAGATATTTAGGATCCACATGAGAAAACTTGCTTTATTCTTTAATAGCTATAACTCTTTTACATTGTTCTTGAGTCAAAATATTATTATTAAAGTTGATCATTCATCTTCATCAAACTTAATTCTCAATGGCATTGATCATTTCAAAACATTAAGTATATCCCTTTTTTCCTAAACACAAATGGCTAGAGTTACCAAGCCCTGGGTGTCAGGATCCAACAACCTAACACAAGAGGGCATTGGTGTGTGGAAAGATTGCAAGAAATTGATTACAGACAAGGGAAATTATCAAAAAAGTAATATATACATTGAGGATAATGGGTGCTGGGTTTCTCACTATGGAAATGAATTACAATATGGAAAGAGAAAAAACAGAATGATTCCTATGGTGTCAAGATTGCAATTTTAAGTATTATAAACAGACATAATAATAATTCTCCCTCCCCTCCTTCCAGCCCCCAACACACACACACACACATAGACATACAAATAAACAGTTTTCCCCAGCTCTGTCCACTAAGAGGACCTGAAACAACTATTCCTCATTAGAATAAACACATGGCTTGTGGTTTCTAAACACCATTCTCTACTAAAAGCAACCAGTACTCTTTGGACAAATGACTGACCTCAAGTACAAGATGAGCCTGGAACAATTTATTGCCCCACAAAATAAGAACATACTCGAGCTAGGATTGTGGCTCAGCGGTAGAGCGCTCTCCTAGCATGCGAGGCCCTGGGTTCAATCCTCAGCACCACACAAAAATAAATAAATAAAACAAAGATATTGTGTCCAACTACAACTAAAAAATAAATATTAAAAAAATAAGAATATACTCTAAGAATGAAAGTTATAGATGAAAAGGGCATATAACCAGATTAAAGAAATTTCTAGGATCTAAACCTGGAACAATTTGAGCATCAAACTGAATATGAGCACATCAGATTATAAAACAGAAAGTAGGAACCCTAATAAACGTACATATATTGAAAGTTGATAAGAAAAGGGATAGTACAGTATCTCAGAGTATATCTTCACAAATTGCATATTAATTACAAAGGTGGAAAGGGGTAACTTAACAGTAAAGAACTCTGGCAGACACCCCCTTAAAACAATCAAATGTAATCATCAGTAATGAAACAAACTGAAATCATGGACCACCTGATGGGATACAATGAAAACAAAACAGTGATTCTTCATTGATATTCCTGCCACATAGGCACCACCTAAATCCAACATAAAGGATGGCATACCCAAATTGAGGTACATTCTACAATGCTACTACTGCCCTGTAATATTCAAAGCTGTCATAGTCAACAAAAATTAAGGAAAGGCTGAGGAAACTATTCCACATTGAAGGAGACAAAAATAATACAATTAAAGAATTTAATTAAGGATTTAATCACACTCAAATACTTTTTTTTTTCTTGGCTTTGTCTTGAGATGAGGGTCTTACTACGTTGCCAATGCTGCTTTGCTGGTTTCAAACTCCTGAGCTTAAGAAATCCCTCTGCCTCAAATTCCCAAGTAACTGGGACAGTAACTGGCATCACTGTGCCCAGACTAATTTCCTCATTTTGATAGTCACCCTGGTTATATAAGAAAAGGTCCTTATTTCTAGGAAATGCATAGTAAAATATTCCACAATAAAGGTGAACCACACCAGCAACTTATTCTGAAATAATTCAAGAAGTTCCTTATAATTCCCCTGAAATATTTCAAGTTTAAGATTACTTTAAAATAAAAAATTCATAAAAATTAATTTCATCCTCAAACATCTGCCACAAAGGAAATGGCATCAAACAAAAAATGTGCTATAGATGTTCAGCATTCTGAAAGACATTTATATTTAGAATAAATATGTTCAGAACACTCTATTTCAAATAACAAATCTATATATCAAGCAGGGCATGGTGGCGCATGCCTGTGATCCCAGCAGCTTGGGAGGCCAAGACAGAAGGATCGCTAGTTCAAAGCCAGCTTCAGCAAAATCAAGGCACTAAGAAATTCAGTAAGACCCTGTCTCTAAATAAAATACAAAATAGGGCTGGGTATGTAGCTCATCCCAGTACCCACCCACCACCCCCCACAAAAAAATCTATATATCAAATTTTAAAAACCTCAAGTATAACTGCTTGGCATTAGAATTAAAAATGCATTTCTGTACCAGCTTTGTAACTAGAAATTGAATGTCACTGTTCTTTCTTTTTTTTTCCTAGTTGCCAATGGACATAATATCTTTATTTTGTTTATTTTTATGTGGTACTGAGGATCAAACCCAGTGCCTTACACATACAGGCAATTGCTCTACCACTGAGCTACAACTCCAGCCCCTATAAATTTTTTTCTTAATTTAGGTTATTACTTACTAAAATTGAGCATAAATGTAAACAAAGACCATTAACAAAAAGATATAAACAAGTTCAGATAGACTGCCTACGTCATCAAAATTTTCCATTATTATCCTGGAGATGAAGACATTGAAAGTGTATATTATTACAACCATCTAAAGTTTCTGGTTTGTATCTTGTTTTCTAAGGAGTTAATCTATTATGAAAGTGATGCCAAGTTTGTCTATAGGTGAGGCACATAGAAATGAATCATCATTAAGTGTTTATAAACTGATCTGCCTTTATTGTGAAACATAATCCAAAATAGAGAAAGGACAAATGAGAAGCACAGCAAGATTCAAATTCATCTTCATTCTATCTGCTACATAATTCATTTCAAGTACATGTCAATATCATTACTGCTCAAAGGAAACAAAACCTATCACAAAAAAGTCTAAAATTTTGAGTATTATTTAATACAAAAGCATTAGGGCCTCTATAAAAATAGTATCTAAATTATATCCTCCAATATTACATCTATTATTAGTAATAACTACAAGATACCATTAACCACATAAAATAAACTCTGATCCACTGAATGTTCAAAATAATTACAAAATTGAAAGGAAAGACCTCTAATTTAGAAGAAGTTAACAAAAATAAAATCTTGCTAAGCATGGTGATGCATGCCTGTTATCCCAGCAACTTGGGAAGCTGAGACAGGAGGATCACAGGTTTGAGGTCAGCCTGGGCAACTTAGAGAGACCCTGTCTCAAAATAAAAAATGAAAATGCTGGGGATATAGATCAGTGGTAGAGCACCTCTGGGCTCAATCCCTGGTACTGTTAAAAAAAAAAAAAAAAATCAAACAAAAAACCTTAACCTTGTTTCCAACCTTCTAATTGTATCAACAGTAGATGTATTAAATTCTGGGCAGTTACTAATACAAAAAGTAATAAGCTGACACCTAAATTATGTTAGTTCTTTATAAGTCATATCTGAAAGTACAATTCTATGAAAAAGAAACAGAAAAGCTTCTAAATTTTTAATCTCCTATAGACTTCTATGTATATCTTAATATGAATTTTCTGTAACTTTTTTTCTTAATTTTTTTTTTAGTTATAGGTGGATACAATATCTTTATTTTTATGTGGTGCTAAGGATCAAACCCAGTAACTCACGCATGCTAGGTAAGCATTCTACCTCTGAGCCACAACCCCAGCCCTGTAACTGACTTTTAAAATATCAGAAATGAAGTACAACTACATATATAACTAATATTTCTCCTAATGTAATATCCAAAGGATGACCTCCTAATCAGCAAATCGAATGGGCTGCCAATCTTATCTGACCTCTTGCAGCAGCAAACAATCTTGTTAAGTTTCTTCTTTCTAAGCTTCCTCCTATGATGCCTTCTCTAATGCCACTCATCCCAGTTTTCATACCACTCCACTCTAGCCATCCCTTTTAAGTCACATTGTAGGTACCCATTCCTCAAGCATTTGCTTTAATGTTTTTTCCTTGAGTTTCACATTCAGTTTTATTATTTTATATGCATTCTTTCCCATATACAAGATTTCCACTATTAACCTCTATGAAAATATCTGTAGCTCTAGCTAAGAATTGTCCCCTAAGTCACAAACTCTTTATCTAAGTAGGCATCTTCACCCAGATGTCTTCCTAAAACTCAGTAATGACCTGAATTATCAATGTTACAGCAAAGCTTTAGCACTCTATTATAACTCCTTATCTTAGTAAACAGGAACATCATCCAAGTTACAACTCTAGGAATAAATCATGAATTTTCCCTCATCTCCCACATCAAATTGATCACAAAGTCTAACAACCTGAAGCTGCCAAATAGCTTGTATACATCTTCTCCTATTTTTATATTTACCCTCACTACACCTGCTCTCCTAGATTCTTAAATAGCTCCGTAGCCCAATCTCCAGTCTGACCACACTCAACCCAATTTGCACGTGATTACACTACATATTATTCCCTTCTTAAAAATCTTTCAATGGTTTATCTGTAATCATTTACACCTTAAGTACCAAATTAATTATTATATCTGGTTACCTTCTTAGCTTTTTATATCCTGCTATTCCCATTAATACCCTGTACACCTAACATAGTATTTATTACACTAAAAACTATCTGTTTACTAGTCTGTCTCCCACTATAGTATTAATTCCTCAAGGTCAGGGAGTTCAACGTTGGACATAGTTCCTATCCAGAGAAGATCCTGAGTGATACTTGATGAATGGAAAATGTATCACTAGTATAAAATCTACCTGAGGCTGGCTTCCACTGATAATCAACCCCTAATATCTACATTTAATTTTAAAAGTAATAAGAAGACAAAATAACTCCAGAAAATACCTCTAAAAAACACTTCAAACTATCAAATAATATATTGCAGGAAGACTGGGGTTGTAGCTCAGTGGTAGGGTGCTTGCCTTGCACGCATGAGGCCTGCGTTTGATCATCAGAACCACATAAAAATAAAATAAAAATAAAGATATTGTGTCCATCTACAACTAAAAAAAAGTAATGTGTTGCTCATGTAGCTCACAACAGTAGTCCATTTAACAATGTGCCAAGAATGATTTTTATCTGTATGAAAGAGGATATGACAAAAGTGCAAGGTTCTTGATTAAAATAACATTGAGGGCTAGGGTTGTGGCTCAGAGGTGGAGTGCACACGTGGCATGCGTGAGGCACTGGGTTTGATCCTTAGCACCACATAAAGTAAAATAAAGACATTGTGTCCACCTATAACTAAAAAAAAAAAATAAATATTTTTTAAAAATAAAATAACATTGAGATGATCCTTTTCAACTCTATAAAGGAAAGTATATATTTCACCTATAATTTTGCTTTGTTGCTTTCTTCTTATTTTTTTAATTTTTGCTTTATTGCTTTAGTAGACAAATTTGTTTTAGAGAAATTAAACCAATGAATATTATTTAAAAGCTCAAAAAGTAAGCAATCGCACTCTTGAATTTCATCTAAAAAAATGTTTTAATAATCTGGTCCTTTTAGTCTTCTCTGTATTCATTAGAAGTTATTTTTGTTTTTTTGGTTTTTCTAATAAATACTAATCCGGTCTAAAGGATTGACAATCACACTGAGTTGCAGTCTCTCAAGATTCATCTTGTCATTTGTCATGTTTTTGACAAACAAGGTAGGCAATGGTAACAAGTCTGTTGGAAAACAGCTGGTAATAATGCATAGTAACATAACTTGAATACAGCTCTTAGCAAGAAGCATGTGCCAAGAACCATACCACAGTTCATTACCTACAAACTCCACTTATAAAAACATCATTCCAAGGAAGAAAGTCAAAGATTTATAAATACTATGACTCAACAGCAAATTAGAAACAACCTAAAACTCCAAAAGCTAAGGCATAAGTGTGTTTAAAAACATTACCTTTTTAATAAATAGTAGTTATATAAAGATTATAAAGGAACAAGAGTAAAGTAATTGGATTTTTATTATTTTGAGAAATGTTTAAAAGTCTTCCAAATTTTTTCTATTCTCATTTATCACTGAACTAATAATACTTTCTCACAATACCAACAGAATTATTAGATTCTTATAACAATAAGAATTATAGTAATTTTTCTGAAGAAGCCTACAAGTTTAAAGTAGTAATTTCATGGTGGGGTCAGAAACTCATCTTCTCACCCCCAAGTAACATATCATACTACGCATATAAGTGCTATGTTCAATTTCATTTGTCTTACAAATTAATCAGCAATTATTGTTATTGCTAAAACAATCAGGTCTCAGATGATGTAAAAGGAGAAAAAACAATCAAATCTTCAACTGTACCGTACATATTTAAAACATTAAAAATAAAAGTTACCTTTCTTCTTTATCCAGGGTTTTCTTCTCTGCTGCAGTGATTTTTTTGGGTGGTACAGGTGGGGTCACTTTTCTACATATCTCTTCAATGATACGTTTGTTCATTCTGCTTTGCAATGCAGCTTTTAGTAAAATTCTTTCTACTGCAGTTATACCATCGCCATGACTGTATTTAGGAATTTCTGGCTGGATTAAAATTTCAATGTCATCCAGCCAAGGAGGATAGTAGGAGTTTTGTTTTCCTGAGAGTTTGTGATGAAGCTTAATTAGCAAAGACAATATACTTTCTTTAATTTCCAAAATGGCTGTCGTTAACTGGGGAGCTGAACCAGGAGCAGACCATTTACTTGAAGTTTTGGGACGAACCACCTGATTTGCTTCACTGTTACTACGATTGATGATCTCCTGAAATTTCTTTCTACGTTCTGCTACTAAGCTGAAAACTTGAGCTGTACCAGAATTCTACCAGTAGACATGAGAAAAAAAGAAAAATCAAGAGAAGTTATTCAGTATCAACTCTAAAAATACATTAATATATTTTTCAAAGGGAATGCTCAAAGTTTCATCAAGAGATTTATTACACTGATTAACTCTTAAATAAATCTGATCCTTCTTCACCTCTCTTTCTCAAATAAATTGAGTTCCACTCAATCTGGAAACACCAATAAGAAAAAAGAAGACTTGGGCTGGGGATGTGGCTCAAGCGGTAGCGTGTTCGCCTGGCATGCACGCAGCGCTGGGTTCGATCCTCAGCACCACATACAAATAGAGATGTGTCTGCCGAAAACTAAAAAATAAATATTAAAAAAAATTCTCTCTCTCTCTCTCTCAAAAAAAAAAAAAAAGAAAAGAAAAAAGAAGACTTATCAGCAATAACATCACTTTCTAAACCTCCTTAGCCTATCAATCAGTGAGGGGAAACAATCTTAAGTAGTACCAATACCCATGTTAAAGAAAAAAATCATAAACTAAATTTCTCCTGTTTAATGGAAGAAAATCTGTTCTATTCAGCATTCATAAGGAAAATTATGTTTTACTAACTTCTGGAAGACTGCTATAGTTTCCAGTTAAGAAAATTATAAGTTAATTTAATTTTCTAAGTTAAAGATTCTGAACTGGTAATTAATTACACTTTTAAGGAACTTCAAAAATTTGAAAATTACTTCTAACAAATGCTTAAAGTTATTAAACTACAATATAAGGATGAAAGATCAAACTGATTTTGTTTTACATTTGAATATCACTGTGATTTAATATTTGAAGTTTTTTTAAAACTAAGTGTTATTCTCAATTACTTATCTTCTAAACAGTCTTTTTGCTAAACCCCAAGTTGCATTAGGGCTCTTAGAACTCATCTTTTAATTAAGATATGAGTCAGTTTAATGGACTTCATTAGTTTTTTTAAACTGAGCATAGAAAGGATGCTTCAATATCAGTTGAATTTTTGTGAGTCAAATTATAGTATACACTATTTTTTAACATCCAAGCTGTTTGTTAAAGTACTCCCTGCCAGCATTAGAGGGCAAAAGCTTCCTCTTATGGTTTTAATTAAAACCCTTTATGATGCTCACAGCAAAAACATGCTATCAAAAAAAGTTCTTACAATTAGACTCTACTCTGAGAAATATCTGTTTTAATGCTGTCTTCTCACAAAAATCTAGATTAAAGGAATGTAACTGCTCAAGTTTAGTTACTTGGCATGTTATTTCAAGACTTTTTTTTTTTTTGCTCTTTAAAATTAATTAAGCTACATGCAATGGCAGCTGTATTTCAAAATGAATCTAAATATACAATATATTTAGTTTAAGATTTTATGTACTTATTTTATCAAAGTTAATTAATTACCATAGAAGCCAAAAAAAATATTTTTAAATGAGCATGCTGCCAGAAACTAAATTTACTTTTTTAGAAAACAGTCATTTTTAAGATGTTAGTAATACAGACCCAAATATGCTGCCTATCATTGATTCAAAACATGTCTAACACTAATATGAAAAATACACTATTGAATGCTCAATATTATTTTATTTTTGAGATCAATAATATCAATTTTTTCAAAATTAAGCCTAAATTACTTTAGTTTTTTAAAAAAGCACACACAAAGAAACTTTTCAAAAATTTAACCATATTAATCAAATACACACACACAAACACACAAATACTTTCAATGTGAATTTTTTCCATTTCCAGTTAAAGCCAAGTTGCTAGTTAATACACATATCATACACATCTACCTCTCTTTGAAGAACTTTAGGTCGTCGTGAACTCTGGCAGGTTAAAGGAAAAAGACTAGTGAGACAGACTTTGCTTAGATATATCAGAGGAAATAGAAGACAATGTAAAGTTACCTATAATTACATTTTTTTTCTTTCAACATCATAGGGGATCTAAACAATATATCTTAACACTTAAACATAAAACTTTTCCTTTCCTTTTCTCCCACCCACCTCCTTAATTTCACACTTACTTGTAAAGAACCCAAGTTATCAGAGCTAGTGCTTGCAGGTGAATCTCTCTTCACTTCAGGAGCAGTCTCTGGAACCCTCACTCTAACATAGTTTATAAAGTGTCGCATGTTAGATACTAAGTTACTGCCAGGAAACCAACTGTCATGACAACGCTCTGGTCCACCCAATGATGTCTAAAATATAAAAAATAAAGAATATGAATGTTTGTCACTTCAGATCTAAGATACAATAAAGATGTAACTGACCAAATAATCAATCATGCCTGTCAAACTCCTAAATCCACAAATTAAAAAAGTGAATAAATTTAAATTTAAATAATAAAACCAAATTGAAACATAAAATACAATAATACATTTCTCAATACTAATAGGGCTAAATCTAGTGAAATCAGCAAACTATCTAAAGAAAATATTTGTCAATCTGGAAACACTTAACATTACAGAATATTTGTCATCACCCATTAGTAATAACTCATAATACAATTAAATGCTACCGTGAACTAATTATGGAAGAACGTCTAAAACATTAACCAAAAGTATGGCACAGTCTTAAAGGAATCTTAATGACCTTTTAATACACACAAAAGAATATATGTTGATTCCCCTTGGACTACAAAGTACTATTTAGTTTACTTTGGGAGAGAGGCTGTTATGCTGTGCTATATTTTTCCTGTGGAGAGGTAGATTTTCGTCTTTTACATTTGGAAAATTAACATCATTTTATGTTTGTAAAAATAATTTGTAGTAAGAATTGCTTTGTTGGAAATACTTCTAAAATCCAATAATACATTAACAATTGTATACTTAATAATTTACCTTAATATCTTTACAGAAATAATATGGTTCTCAACAATAATTATGCTAATAATTTTATTAGAATCAATAATACAAATTTTCTTTAAAATTAATCTTACTTGTTTTTAAAAAGTACAAGGAATTTTTTAATTTAACCATATTAATCAAATACTCACATACCCAAATACTTCAAAGTGATTTTTGTTTTCCCTTTTCTATAAAGCCAGGCTGCCAGTTAATGCAAATATACACATCTACCTCTCTTTGAATAACTTTAGGCCATTGTGAACTCTTTTATTCTCAAAAATAATTCCTAATCAAATTATTAGACTATCTAGACTGAAATTCTAACTTAATGATTATTTCCCAGCAGCCAATTTCTCACCATAACACCAAAAGTACCTCAACCAATTTGATATGAATGAAAAATTTCAATTCCAATAATTCCATAAGAAAGTATTTCCATAAGTATCAACAAAAGCACTAAAAGACAGTATACATTTGAAAATCCAAAAGGTGTTTTCTATAAAAGTAGCTCTTCAGAAGATCTTATTTATGTATAAGGAATTCATAAATATACTTCATTTAAACACTGGCCTGGCAACAATTACCTAGAGCTGGAGAAAGGTTTATTCCTATCTAAAAATTTTAAAATATAAGAAATTACTTACCTCTTCATCTGATTCATCTTCAGTAGAATTTTCAAGTCCTAACTCAATCAGATATAAAACCATGCAGAGTACATGTTCTGACAGATTTTGATGATCCATCAAAATCTTTAAAAAAGGAAAAAATTACCTCAAAATTGTCTCTTTCCACAGAACATTTCACGTAAAGACAAAAAAATTTTAATAAAGATGAAACGACATAACTAAATACATAAAAATCAGACACATATTACACATTGATAAGAAAATAAGCTAAAACCAAAAAGCCATTTCCTCTACAGAATACCTGGTACTTTAGCACTATCCTGCAGATTAAAGATTAACTCATTAAATAACCCACTAAAATCACTAATATCCATATGCCAGTACTTAATAAAATATTTTTCTTAAATGGTAGTCTTACTATATTGCCTAGGTTGGTCTTGAACTCATGGGCTCCTGCTTCAGTCACCCAAGTAGCTAGAGTTATAGATGACACCACCACACCTGGCTTAATAAAATAATTTAACAAAAATACTTAATATCCTAATTTTCTGACACTCTTTTCCTGAAGACCAGGATATCACATAAATAAATTTGTTAAATAGATTATTTATGCAAATGCCAATGTGTTTGGCATAATACCTAGCATATAATTGGGAGCACAATAAATGCTTATGAAACATTAATGTTCTTAGAATTAAAGGTCTGAACCTCTGAGTATTGTGTGGAGATGTATAAATGCATATGTCAATGTGGGGTTTATATGATGAGAAAGATAAAAGGAAGCCAGGCATGGAGGCACACACATATAATCTCAGTGACTTGCAAAGCCGAAGCAGGAGGATCACAAATTGAAGGCCAGCCTCAGCAAGTTTGTGAGACCCTGTCTCAAAAAATTAAAAGGGCTGGTTATGTAACTCAATGCTAGAGCACCCCTGAATTCAATCCCCAATACCAAAAATAAATAAATAAATAAATAAACAAACAAAGGGAATGAGAGTGGTTACAAAGGCTTCCCTGAGAAAAATCTGATAAGTCAGACCTTATACCTGAATTATACAAGACTTAACATATCTGACACAAGATTTCAGGATTAGCCATACCAATCAGTAACTTAATGTGATATAAGTGACCACTAATCAGAAAACAACTAAAATACTACCCCACAAATAAGCTGGCAGCTATCATTTTGTTCTAATTACGTATCTGGATGGATGGATGGATGGATGGATGGATGGATGGATGGATAGATAAATAAACAAATAAATAAATAAATAGATGTTGTAGCTATAGCTAAAGTAACATTTTTTTTTAAATGTATTAAATGTTATGATAAATATATTTTAAGGTTGTAAATTTAAAAGCTAAAAATTATCTGGAGAAATTATAAAAATAACTGCAAATTAAATATAAAGAATGTACACAAAAGAAAACAATAAAGATACTAACAGAAAAAAAAAAGAGTTTCTGAAGTGAGTGCCAATGTCAACAGTAAATGAGACAGCAAAGGACAGGGTAACCAGAGCCTCACAGAAATTGCACAAATGGCTGAAAGGACTAGAAAAGGAGGGCTTCATCACTTAAGACCCAATCTACTGTAATAGACTTTCTACTGCTTTGACTTTCTACTGCTTACTTTGACTACTGCGAGGGCTTTTCCATTCATCTCTTGTGTTGTGATAAATGGTGAAGAGCGTAGGCTTTTTCAAAAGCTTTTAAAAACTGATTTTTTAACACAAATTCTATCCATGACTATTTGACTTATACCAACAGATTCTGGCCTTAGTTTTCATTTCTAAATCTGGAAAAATTGTCCAGAAAATATTGTGCCATGAATAACATCTGTCATTTTCTTAGCATAGTATCTAACAATCATTGTTCAACAAATAGTCGGTGAGTGGCACCCATGGTATGAGGAGCAGGAGCAGAAAAAGACGGGACTGAAGGCTAGGAGTCAATAAGGTCATCCTTTCGAATCCACTACATTGTAGAGAGGAAACCAAGACACAGCAACACACCCAGCTAGTGAAAGCAACATGAGAACACAGATTTCAGACTCCCAGGCCATTGCCTATCATTATTATACTGCCTCCTCTTGATAATGAAACATTGCCAGCTAAATGCAAATAAATTTTGACTTGAAATTCTGCGGTATTACAGTTTTAAAAGAATAACTTAAAGACTAAGGGAGGAAATTCATTTTCTAAGGGCTACAAAAAAAAAAGATTATTCTTCTTTATTTTAAGTATTAAACATGGCAAGGAATGAAAGTGGTTTACTATCACTAATGTAGAGAAATTTGATTTGATAATGTAATATCAGATAAATTTTTTTTTATACTTGCTGAAGTCATGAAAGCTATTACAAATACATTTAAAATTTTTTAAATTTGCTTATAACAGTCTTGGAAAACTAAAGCAATGCCTTATTATTTTGTAATAAACATTTACATTAATCAAATTTTTTAAGTTGAAAAAATGTATAACTCAAAAGAACATAAATTACTTGCGGTAAGGTGAAATTAATTATTAATTATTATTAATAACAGTATTCAATTCTCCATTTGGAATAGTTATTTAACTTCTCAGCCCAATGATCATATTGAAAACCATCAATAATAACAGAACTTTTACCATAAGAATTTTTGCTAGATTTATGTCTACAAGTACATTTAAAGCACTTGAAAGAAAATCTAGCACTAAGAATTAACAATAGCTAAACTGTGGAATCAACTTAGATGCTCGTCAATAGATGAATGGATTAAAAAAAAGTGGAATTTTATTCAGCAACAAAAGAGAATAAAATCATGGCATTTACAGGTAAATGGATAGAGTTAGAGAAGATAATGCTAAGTGAAGTTAGCCAATCCCCCAAAAAAACAAATGCCAAATGTTTTCTCTGATACCAGATGGCTGATTCATAGTGGGGTAGGGAGGAGGAGTATGGGAGGAATAGAGAACTCTAGATAGGTCAGAGGAGTGGGAAGGAACAGAGGGGGCATGGGGTTAGAAATGATGGTGGAATGTGATGGACATTATTATCCAAAATACATGTATGAAGACATGAACTGATGTGAATATACTTTGTATACAACCAGATATATAAAAAAATATGTGCTCTATATATGTAATATGAGTTACGCATTCCACTATCCTGTATAAGTAAAAAAAATTAATTTTTAAAAAAATACCTTCAAATAATGTATGTTATTTGTAAAATAAACACAAATAGCTTTTCAGTAAAAGATATTTAATGTTTTTTCATGAAGAAAAAGAGATTTTAAATCATTTTACTGAAGAATCCTCTTGGGAAGTAGTTAAAATAAACCTTTCCAGGCATTTATTGAAGCACTAGTTTAAAATCTTAATTAAAGCAGCATAACTTTTTTAAAAATTTTTTTAGATGTTGATAGACCTTTTATTACTCATTTATTTGTATGCAGTGCTGAGAATCGAACCCAGGGCTTCCCACATGCTAGGCAAGCACTCTACCACTGAGCCACAACTCCAGCCCAAAGCAGCATAACTTTTAAAAGTAAAATAAAAATTGGTCATGACTGAGACTTAATGAGGGGCAGAGAAATCTAAAAGAATTATTTCATTACAAAGCAAACATTAGGAGAAAGACTAACATATCTAATTAAATTTATACTTTCTTAATTTAAAATATTTGTACATAAGCAATTGGAAATCTATATTACAAATATGTGTAGTTTTCTTTTAAATTTCTTTAAATTTTTAATTTTTCAAATTTTAAATAGGAATAGCAATGATAGGTTTCATTTTATCTAATTGCATAGCATTTATCATGGTTTACAGTTATTTTATAGATTTTTTTTTTTTTTAATTTTTAATATTTATTTTTTAGTTATCGGCGGGCACAACATCTTTGTTTGTATGTGGTGCTGAGGATCGAACCCGGGCTGCACGCATGCCAGGCGAGCGCGCTACCGCTTGAGCCACATCCCCAGCCCTATTTTATAGATGTTAATACTTATTTTATCTATAAACTGGGGATAGTTATTTTCTTTCATCTCTTATCTAAGTTAGATCATAAAAGTTATATATTTGTGTGTGTTTATATATATATATATATATATAAACACACACAAATTTCTAAAAATGTCACATTTCATAAAATTTTTTAGTACATAATAAATGTTAGTAAAATAAATCAGCCAGTTGTGCCAGAGAAAACCCAAGAATAGGGGCTGGGGTTGTGGCTCAGCAGTAGAGCGCTTGCCTAGCATGGGCAAGGCCCTGGGTTCATTCCCCAGCACCACATAAAAATAAATAAATAAAGATATTGTGTCCAACTACAACTAAAAAATAAATATTAAAAAAGAAAAGAAAACCCAAGAATAAAACAAATTCTAAATAACATGAAAACATATTTTGGGTTGCTAAGATGTCTACCAGAAATACCAGAGATAAGACTCAAATCCCTCTATATCATACTCCTAATCAGAGGTTAAATAAAAAAACACAAAGAAGCACCATAAACTAAGGTCACTAGCCCACGTAATTGCCATTTCTAATTACATCATTCTAGTGGGTTTATGGGTTGTTTGGTTCCTTAGCTCATTCCATAATTTCTTTGTTCTGCATCATTCACTTCTTGTTCTATAGAAGCTAAAACCTAACACTTATACTTGAAGCTAAATAATTATACCTGAAGCTAAATACACCACGAAAAATGGTGTAGCTATTTCATTATTTTCAACTTCGAATTCACACACATACTATTATAACATACCCATATACATTTTACATACATCATATTCATCAATATGCTTTGCTTTATGAGTGTTACTTTTATTTAAATATTACCCTTCAGTATTTTTATTCAAAAATTATGAAAATAAATTCTAATCTAAGTCTTTTTACTTAAATTACTACTGTACCTTGTAAAGTAGAGTGAACAGCACAATGTGTAAAGTTTTACAGTGCAAAAGTCTCATGAGACCTTTATAACTAGGATGAAGTGATGTCCTTTTCTTATAAGGTGGCCAGGGATTTCCAGGGAATTTCCCACTCTGTTTTAAACTGTAAAAATAAAACCAAAATTAGATGACAGACTCAGAATTAAACTGTGGTTTAAACACTGATTTATCAATATCAATTTCTGTCACATTTTTTGTATGCAGTACTATTTTTAATCATAATTGCTTTAAGATGCCAAACAGAAATCTAATCTCCACACAATGAGCTTTACTATTTGCTTTTCTTATTGGATAAAAATGAATAGAAAAAGCTAAGCCAAACACTAGAAAGAAATTTGAATACAAAAATGTTAATGGACACAGTGGTATGTGCCTGTTGTCTTAGCTACTGAGAGGCTAAGGTAGGAGAATGGCTTGAGCCCAGGAGCTTGAGTAACAGTGTGACTTGGGTAACAGTGTGACTCTGTATCAAAAAAAAAATGAATTCTAACAAAAAGATGACAAAGCAAAGTACTCAGACAAAGAAATTTCCAGTTCTAACAAATAATCAAAATAGATAACTTGAAGACTCTCCCATTGGCTGGAAGAGCTGCATGAAATATAAAATGTATTCTTTTGAACATATATTTAAGACCTCACCAAAAAAAAAAAAAAAATGGAACTTCCCAGACACCAGGAAAAAAAAAAAAAGAAGAAGGAATTAACAACAAGCACTACCACTGTGCCAATGGTTTTAAAGTCCTTGATTAGGCAGAGAACAAGGTGTTGAGGCCTACAGGCAAAAGAACAATCACTGTAGGTAATTAATGATGGGGTCAGACAAAAGGAAATAAAATGTTAATACCTCCTGAGCACTTCCCCCTCCTCCACCAGTTGCCAAGGTTACCTGCCTCCAGAGAATTATTCCTCACAGTAAGGAGTTAATGAGTAGCCCCAGGGTGACTCCCTTCCTGCCTCTACCCCAGAGCCTCTTCCTTCCAGCCTTTGGATCACCTTTTGGGTCATGTAGGCAGGATAGAGGGAGGAGAGAACACAAGAACAAAGAAAATCTAAAATGTATAAAAGGGGCAAGACATCCCTACTTCCTTGGATACCTAGCTCTCGGTCCCCTTCTCTTTGGAGAAGTATATCTTTGTTCTATCCTTTAAACAAAACTTGCTTTCTGTGATTGCTTGGCATTTCTCTGGTGTTCAATCTTCAACATCAGGAAAACTGGACTTGGCCCTGATTCTCATTACTGATATCAGTGTTGGGTACACACAAGCTCAGAGATGAAACTGAGATTCCCCCCAAAGCAGAGACCCTAAGAAGTCTTTAACCTCAATGAAGAGGATAACTCACAAGGAGAAATAAGAATCTTAAAGAGAAGGTTCTCTCTTCTGGGCTAGAAGAATGATAGGCTCTCCATGAAGAAAATAATTAGCAAACTTGTGTGCAGACAACAGCAGACTCAAAACACAAAAGGAAAAATCTAAGGGAATGACACAGAGAAACTAACAAACCCACAACTATTTTAGAGAATATTAACTCCTGCCTAGAGGCCAATAAAAACAAATTAGTAAAAAATTTTAACAATATAATCAACAAACATGAGGCAGGAACACATAAATAACATTCACCAATTAGATGTATTTAGAATATTTATAATTTTAAGTGCACTTGGAAATTTATAAAAAATTGTTAAATGCCAGAGTACACAGTAAATTCAGCAATGACTAAAAGAATTGATACACAGACCACAATCACTTGTCACAAAATAAATAAAACTAGAAACCAACTTAAAAAGATAATCCACAACTACAAAAATGTAGACATTTTAAAATACTATGGGTGCAAGGCATGGTGGCGCACTCACGTAATCCTAGCAGCTCAGAAGGCTGAGGCAGAAGTTCAAAGCCAGCCTCAGCACAAATGAGGCACTAAGCAACTCAGTGAGACCCTGTCTCTAAATAAAATACAAAATAGGGCTGGGGATGTGGCTCAGTGGCCAAGTGCCCCCTGAGTTCAATCCCCAGTACTCCCCACCCCAAAAAAAAACACTATGGGTTAGAAATTCAGAGGTTGTTAAAAATCCTAGCAGAAACTTTTAAAAATTAAGAATTCTGTAATGCTAGCTACTCCTGAGGAAAAGCAGGAGGATCACAAGTTCAATGCCAGCTCAGCAACTTTGGCAAGATCCTGTCTCAAAACCAAAAATTTTTTTTAAAAAAAGGCTGGGGGGGGGGGGGGGGGCGGGGGGATGTGGTTCAGTGGTTACATGCCCCTAAATTCAATCCCCAATAACCAGAAAAAAAGGAAAAAAAAAATATATTGGAGGTGGGGTTGTAGTCCAATGACTGGTTCAATCCCCAATACCAAAGTGGGGGTTGGGGGATAGAGAATAATTTTTCAAAAGAATAAAATAGAACTTAACAATATAGAAAAAAAATATGAGATATGACCAAAGAAGTGTTTGGAAAGAAATGTACAGCCTTAGATATCAATCCACAAAATGGTAGGAAATAACAGCAAATCATATATATCGGGTTAAGTCTAGTATTCAGAATACATGAAGTGTTTTTAAGTCTCGGTAATAAGAAGACAATCCAACTTAAAAATGGGCAAAGAAATCAATCAGCAGCTCCTGGTACCTCGCTAAGTGGAAATGGAGAGATGAGGAGGGGCAAAAATAAGAAGAACTGAATGCAAATTGTCACTTCACCACTGCAACAGAATTCTGCCTAGACAACTTGTCTCTGAAGAGGACAAAGCACCAAACATAGGTATGAAGATGGAAGATTAAAATCATAGTATGCATATTTGATTCAGACCACCTAAGGCCTCATCTCCCATTCAGTTCACAAAACACACATAGCCAAACTATTACCTTCTGGGAAATATTTTAAGACACTTCTCTGAGAAATCTGACCAGAACAAGATCTAAAGAGACAACATAAGGGATCCCACGAAACCTGCATAACTAAATCCCCCTAAATTAAATTTCAGCTTCTACAAGTTTGACCAGCACAAACAGCTCTTAATAACAAGCACCAGAATTATCAGACTTCTGACTAATGCCTCTCATGTGGAAGAGCTAGAGAGCAAACAATACATAATGTATCTTTGAGGAAAGAAACACTATGTAGGTGGGAGAAAAACAAATCTTAAAAACTACCATTCTCGTATTAGAGAAATCAATTACATATATGGTTCATAAACTAGATGCCAAAAAATTAACTTTGCATTTTTAAAAAAAAACTCCTTTCTATACAATGTTACAATGGTCATATATAGGCATAATTTTCAAAACAATTATAATATCTCGTGATGAAATATTTTAACTACTGTATTTCATTTAGCATAGAAAAGCAGTTCCTAGTTTTTATTTTCTTTGTTTGCTTTAAGCACTAAAGCTCCTAAATTTTATGCAGCACTAGATTATTAAAGTGTTAAAACATAAAGGTTATATATTTTTTCAAGGAGCAGGTAATACATCATTTTGACTGCTCTTTTCAAAAGCATTAATGGAATAATGCAAATGATATGCTACATGACAGAAAAAAAAATTAAGTGATTCAAACCAACACCTAATTATTGACCAGTTAGAGACAAAAATGATATATACAAAGTCATACATCATACTTTCAAGCATGGGGCAGTAGCCATTAACCTTCATGATGAGAAATGGGAAACAAAAGAAATTATAGAATAAAAAAAAAAATTACTGTCCAGTTGAATTTAAGACAGTCCCTGTATAAAATCATTTTTATCTTTTTGAAAATGCCTAGATCATAGTTCTAACACTGCCATTAATGAACATATTTCATTGAGCTTCTCTGGGCTGCAATGGCCTTATAACGTAAAATATAACAATGTAGGGATAGTTTTCCATTTGTTGCTTTGCTTTGTTGCTGTTTGCTGTTATCTTGCTTGTTCTCTTTTTAAGAGCTTAACTATCCATTAAAGGGTATCTGGTAAGCAATGAGGGAAGCAGGATGAGCCTTCTCTTGTTGTTGCCCCATCCCTCTTTCAGCGATAGCTCACAAAACACTTTTATGGAATCTGCACTAGGTCTTGAAGGCCATTCCCAACAATAAGACCCCAAGATTCTAAACATAAATATCACATAAGGCAAACAGTTTTTAATTTCAACTCTCGGCACAAAAAGAAATTTACTTTTTGTGCGCTTAATAAATATTTACTGACTGCCAACAAACTACCTAGCAAAAAGTTTAAATTCTAAGGATACAATAGTTTAAATCTACTCAACCATTTTAAACTAGTATTCTTCAAAAGGTTTTTCTATTGTCTTCTTGCAAATAAAAGAGGACTAACCCAGCAAAGTCAATTAATCAACTTTTTATCTCGATACTCAAAAATGAATAGTCAATAAGACAACAACAATATCACATTTTATATTTCATATAAAAATAAATATTTGAAAATTCAATTTTTAAAAATTCAAAGTTTTGGACTGGGGATGTGGCTCAGTGTTAGAGCGCTTGCCTAACACGTGCAAGGTGCTGGGTTCGATACTCAGCACCACATAAAAATAAATAAAATAAAGGCATTGTGTCCAACTACAACTAAAAATATATTTTTTTTAATTCAAGTTTTACACAGAAAGAAATATTTTCCTTCATGGATATACATAAGTAAATAAAATGTTGTAAGATGAATATAATGGTTTTCACATAGAATTTAAAAGGTTACTATATTTTGTCATCTATTTTTATTGCTTTCAATACACAGTTCTTTAAAAAAATAACAGATGTCCAAACTGCTAAGAAACAGAACACTTCTAAGAAATTACCAAAAAAAAAATTTGAACAAGAACTCAAAGGCCTAATTGAGGGAACTGAGAGAAATAAGAATCACAAAGAACAACATAGAAAATAAGGACTAAAAACATCTTTGGGGATATAGTTTTATCTGATTATGTAAAGTAGCTATAAATCAAAATATGATATAGATTTTAACAACTAATAATACAAAACAGATTAGAAAGCACAGAATTCCTCTAAACACAATATACATCTAAACTATATTAGCACTAATGACATTTAAGGCAAGGTTGGTTGTGGAGTAGACCTATCCTCTACCAGATGTCTGCAGCAACTCTACCATTCTTCAGGCAATGCTGGTGTTTCCTGGGAGACAAAAATTGTCACTATTTGAGAAACACTACTCTACACGTAAGAAAGAAACTGCTCAGAATGAAATGAAAAGTTTGCTAAGTAAAATATAAAAGATAAAACTCTGTCTTCCTTTCAGAGTGCCTGGCATATAATAAACAATAAATAAATGGGTATTGTTAAATAAAATTTTTCCTTTAAAATTGTTTATATTAATAATTTAATGATTCCTTCAAAGCGCTGGAAGTTTCAGCCCAAATCCAGTTCAAATTTCTGTTAGCTACAAAGTAAAAGATAATATTAAATTTGCTTTATATTTATATATTCAAAATGACTAATCAACAACAACAACCTGAAAAAAAGGCAGAGCAACTTGAGAAGTTTATGAAGTCCACTTTAGGCATTTTTGAAATCTACTTTAGGTATTCAACACAAAAGCACCCTCCCACTCATTTTTCCATTCATATTATTTAAATTTATTTCACTCAACAAATAAACTCTAAATGCCTACTATGTGCCAGTGCTGAGATATAACTTCCCTCAAAGATTTAAGAATTTAGTAAAAGCCTAGAAGCAAATAGATTATTAACAAACCACATAAAAAAGAATAAAAAGAAGTGGCTAAGAGAGCAGAGAAGAGAGAACTCAGACAACTTCCCCAAAGGGTTTTAGAAAAGGCAAAGAGAGATGTTGATGGCTAAGCTGAGTTTTGTTTCTGCTTTGTTTTGTTAGGTTTTCTTATTTTGTTTAGAGGGAAGGGGATCACACTAAAATTCCACAATCCACAATTTTCTTCAGATTAGTTGTCTGTGAAATTCAACATATATCTATTACTGCAAATCTTGGCAAAGGAGAAGTTTCAATTACATATAGTATCTATGATGATACTTTGATAGTTATCTGAATATTTCCTCAAGATCAAAGACATTTGCATAATTTTAAACTTGTTTTTAAAAATGTTTACCTTAAGCTTTAGAAAAGTACAGATAAAAGACACTGATGTTGAGCAATAATATTAACTACTAAGATTTAAAAAGAGGTAGAAATAATACATTAAAAATAGTCTACAGTTTATAATAAAGTATAAAATCAAATTTGAAAAAGATATTCTTCAAATTTTTATTTTCCGCAGTCATCATTTTAAACTTTTATTTTAAAAATGTATAAGTAAAATATATTTTGCTTTATCTGTTTTCTCAGTTGTCAAACACATAGCAATATTTTCACACTTTTTCATAGACAACTATCATCATCTCTGATGTCAATTTTATTTTCTTAACTTGTGCCTCCTCTACTGGTTCAAAAGTAGAACAACATAAAACTACACCTCAAAATCTACTAATCAAAACTCAACTAAATATGTAATATTTTTATTTACTAATCATGTTCTATAAATTGAACAGATTAACATCAAACATTGAGAACATAATCTCAGTCTGATTTTTTTTTAATCTTAAAATTTTTTCTCCTCTAAGATTTGAGAGTATACTTCAATGAGAATATATTATATGGGTTATAATTGAAATCTTTTCAGATAAACACAAAATATTCCACTGTGAGACTAATCAATTTGATGGACTTACAATGCTGTATATCTGTCCATTGCAGACTGCACATCTCTACGGTAAACTGTTCGAAGAATGACCATGACAGGGTCAAACTCCTGATCCCAGACTTCAGCTATTTTTCAAAAAAAGTAGAAACAGAACACTGATTTCTTAGAAATAAAGTCAATTTTTAATGATTTCTTACATTTGTTAAGTATATTTTAAATTTTAAAAAATGAAATAGATCAATTTTACTATATTTGCCTTAATAAACTTGATGTTATAATTAGTTTTCTAAGTCAAAAATCACAATTTCAGCATTATGTTCTCTTAAGCTCTACAAATACTAGTGAGCAAAAGTTTTGCAATATAACAATGCCCCACCATAAAAGTTTAGTTCATTTGTTGTTGTTGTTGTTGTTGTTGTTTGTAAGATGCCTATTAGAAAGTAAGAAAGACCTTAAAAAGTGCCCAAAGGTAAAACCATGAAATCAGATTAAAATGTTAATGAGCTATTGATTTTCAAGACTCTTATTTTATCTATCTTTTTTGTTAATAAAAGATTTTCTGTCCCTTTGCTAAAATTAATAGTTTTCTCCTTACCTTCTGTATAATTATGAACCATTGTCCCATATGTTTTATGTGTACTACTGGTGGGATATAAGATGATTTCAAATGTTAACTGTATAAAGGCTTTTATTTTAATAATTATGTAATTATTTTTAAAGTGTATATGAAAATTGCAAGCTGCCAATAAAAATCTATAACCTCACTAATAACCTCATCATGTTTAGGATGAGGTGAAGTTTAAAAAAGAAAGTTAACTCATATAAGAAAATAATAATTTCAGAAATCATTTCCTTGAGAGTATCTCTTTCCTGGTTAAGATTGTTTTTCCTTTCATCCTATCTAACAAAATTCTTAACATTTGAAAACATGACATAGAGCTTAAACTAATTTCAACTTTCTAACACTATTAACCATTGTCCCTAATTTGTCTCAAACTCAAGTGGGCTTAATAACCATCTACACAGCATGTTTAAAAAGCAGTTTCTCAGGTTCCTTCCCCAGAGATTCTGATGAAAGCAGATAGGGGATGAGATACAGGAACCTGTGTCTTTAACAATGGCTGCAAATGAGGCTGGCAAAGGTAATATACATATTGCACTTTCATAAGCACTGCTCTACACCAGAATGCTACTTTATTCCTGAATCCACTTAAATGTGTGACACAGAGTTCTTTATTATAAATAACTACTGCTTTTTCTTTAATGGAATACATTCCAACCACAGACTCTAGAATCTTCTTGTTTCTTGTATACTCTGAAAAAATTCACTATAAGGCTTTTCTGCTGCTTCGCCAAATACAGTATATACTATGTAAAACTTCAAAAAAAGTTTGCTTTTTCACTTAGAAAATGAATGTTGAGGAGCACATAACTGCTACTCCCTTCAAAATTTTAACATAAGCAAAAATCTGAAAGTTAAAAAAAAAAAAAAAAAGAAAAGAAAACACTGAATCAGAACTTAACCTCTCTAAGCTCTTGTCAAGCATATCATCTGTGAATCTAGCGGAAAAACCTTAGAAAACCAGTCATGTAAATAAAGAGTTTCTATATTTATATAGGTTCAAATTTGCCAATTTCATCAGCATTCTATATAGATTTTAATTTGAACTGTTTCAAACTAAAAATTGGGAACTAAGAAAAATTTCAAAATAATTAGAAAACACTCAAGATATTTTTAAGTATATACTTTTATTTTATAATTTCTGGTTCATTTTGGTTATGGTCACTTATAAAAAGAGTTCATATCTAAAGTTCCTTTTATAATTTAAGAGTCATCTAAGAAGCCTGATTATAACATAAAACCAAAAATTTGTAAATAAATGGAAACAATATTACTCTTTACCATAAAATACACAAATTTCGTAAGAAAGCTGAGAGAAGAAAACCAAAACTGAATCAATAAAAGGTGAACATTTCCTTTCAGTGCATAAAAGAATTTACCTCCAGAGAATTGATAATTGATGGAATTTATGTATATACATACTATATAAACATACCTTTGGGAGTATACATGCCTTGTTGCATAGAACCTCCAGGTTCAAAAACAGGAGCCTTAAAATCAGCTACAGCTGATAAAACTGATTCAAAGCTGTAACTGCCTGGGATAATGCCACTTTTGGGGTTGGGATTTTCTGGAATATAATGTATGTGTCAAGAAAAAAAAAAATTCATCCAAAAAAGCCAGCTTCACAGACTTTCCAAAATACTCTAGTTTCCTAATTAATTTTACTCCAATGGGGAATAACTGGCTGCAATATATAAAATTGGCCACAAGAGGGCTACATAGCATTCCAATAATAACTTATTTTTATTAATTGTGATTTCTTTTTTTAATATTTTAAATCTAGGAGCCAACTAGTAAACTGCATGATGAAGTAGTTCCCAGGTATATTTCCTCCCAAATAAATTCATCAAATTTCAAAGAGTGAGAAAAAAAATCTAATTGATCTCCATTTTCATCATTTTGCAAATATTATACCTTTCCTTAGAAACCAGAAAGAATATGTTATAAATATTAACCAATATTTTTATGAGCAAATAGATTATTTTTCCAAAAACACAAAATTTTCCCAAAGAAAAAAGATGAAAAGCAAGTTTAATCAAAGAAGGAAAGCACTAAAACACAAAGATTCTCTTTTTGTTTCATATTAAAGTATATAATTTTTCTTAAATTCAAAGTTACAAAAAATGTTTTTGCCCTGAACTAGTACTGATACATACACAGTCTACAATGGATGAATGAAATCATTCAAATATCAAGTTGATGTTGCTTATGAAAATCAAGGAAATCAAATAAGTATTCTAAGGAAGCATCATTTCACAAAACCAAAATTTCAATCAATTCTTCCAGACAAAATCATAAGATAAAATACTAAATTTAGTCAAATATTTTCCTCACAAAATAATATTATAATCTTTGTCTAAATGTTCATTAACTAAAAAAAAAAAAAAAAAAAAAAAAAAGTACCAATTGTATACTCAGTCCTATGCAAACAACCATAAATTTCTGGTTTGAAGACAAGAATATACAGATTTGAAAATCTTTTTTCTTTTTCAAGACTGAATTCTAACAACAATCCAAAAAGAAGTCAGAATGTTTGAAACCCTGGTAATGGTTAATTACAAAGTAAGCCACTGTGAACTAGAATTCCAGCCTGGCTACACTGATGAAGCTAACTATCTACCTTTTAAAAAATTGCAGCTTCCTAATGCTATTCTAGAATGTTAGTTCCTGGAGAGTCAAGAACCACTATCCCCAAGGTCCATCCTAAAGACTAAGGAAAGACTCCTAAGAGGTAATAATAGGTTAAAAATACCTGTCACCATCCCTGAACAAATACTTGAGCAAACAAATGGCATCCTTCTTTTCCTATATCATTTTTCAACTCCAAAAAAAGCATTTTTAATTAAAATACTAATATATCTTTAATTCATAAAAATAATTTTTATTTTAAATACAACTAACAGAACATTAAACATTTTAAAAGGATATGAGGTCCAACAATGAACTATGTGTCCTGTCGTTCATACATAGCTGGGCTACCATCTCTGCCCTGAGAATCTCATCATCAGACATTCCTAAAATTATTAAAAATAGAATTAATAAATCTGAATGTAAATAATAAAAAAATAAACATTTTACCCAGATGTTTTACCAAATATAATATGCTTCAAATTAAGAGTAAAGGATGCAAAGCCCCAAATTTAACTATTTTAACTACCCTGCTATTTGCAAATCAAAGGAGTTCCTTAACCAAAGAATTTTTTTAAATATTTTTAGTTGTAAATGGACACAATACCTTTACTTTATTTATTTATTTTTATGTGGTGCTGAGGAGCAAACCCAGTGCCTCACATGTGTTAGGTAAGCACTGGACCACTGAGTTACAATCCCAGCCCCCAAAGGAATTTTTTAAAGGCTATTCTAAAAGATATATCAATTGTACAACATATCAAGAGTTTGAAAGTATGTTTAAACATATCTGTATCCTTTCCTTTTTCCATAAGCTGATTATTACCACATGGAGAAGGAAGGAAAGGGAATAAAATAGTTAATAATTTAAGTGTTGCTAATACTAGTAGTTTTTACCTAAATGTAAACGAAGACTCAAAAGAATCACAAGAAATGTAAGAGCTCCTTCTAGCATCGATCTTTCATGCTCTGCATCAAGTACTGTATTTTGATGTTGCGATGCCATTGTCAATAAATCTACCACTTTAAATCTATAAAAATAAATATTTGAGATAAATTTTTAGAAGTTAAAACAAAATTAACCTATATTCTAATTTTTTTTTAATAAAAGTATGCTTACCGTTCAAAGACAGATGATATAAAATAATCTGGGTCAAGTCTAGAAGCACAAACCTTTAAAAAAAAAAAAAAAGCTTTATATCTTAATATACTGTTTACTTCTTACTCTTTTTTCCCTGTTTTGACATTGTGGAATGCGGGGAATTATTGACCTTGAAGAGAGTGCCCCTCCCAAGGATAATTCCTAAACATAGTAAGACCTTACTTGATAACATACCTCATGTAAGCCATCCAACCCACGTTATCTAACTTACACACCAACACAGGTTTTCCCCTAAACAACCCAGAGCTGAATACATACAAGTCAAGTACAGTCACTATGCCACAAAACCACCAGAATTATTCAAACTATTCAAGTCTAAACTGTTTCCCCTGCCCTGCCTTATCTTTCCTGCAGAAACCAAAACAAGGCACTGACTTAGATCCTCTCACTCCTGCCTCTACCTCCTGACCAAAACCTGATGCTTTCCTTTGTGGCCCCATGTGGTATGGTATGAACTCTTTCCTTAAAAATGTAAGTAATAACTTCTTTCATTGGTACTGCCCTCTCCATGTCATCACTCTGTTACCTTTATAAATTAAAATTCCACAGGTATAAATTAGACACTTCAAAACACAATATTATTATCAAGTTGACTTTACCTGTAATAAGTAAATGTCAGGATCTATCATGGAATTACAAAAATGAGACTGGACATAAGTCATGGCTTGTCCTTTGATTTGCAAGCCATTTCGTACCCACATATTGCTGTGGATTTCAGCAAGACTTGCCTAATAAAATAAAAAAAAAAGTACTTTAGAGAATAAATCACATAAATTCAATCTTTATAAAATCACATTAAATAATCATTCTTAAATATTTTATGACTTAATCATAATATAAACCTGGCATTCTAAGGTTAAAGATATTCAGTTTAAAGGCTGAGGATGCAGCTCAGTGGCACAGAGCTTGCCTAGAATGTGCAAGACCTTAGGTTCCATGTCCAGTACTGGCAGAAAACAAAACCAACCCCCCCTCCAAAAAAAAAGTTGTTGGATAAAAAGATATTTAGCCCAAATACATATTTTTAATTTTTTAAAATAAATATTATGTTTTATATAGCCACCTTTTTTGGAGCTTATATGTGAGTTCGTTTTCAAAGATGACTTCTAGATATATTTGTAATATTTTCACTGAAATCTTTCATGAGAAGTTAATGTTCAGTTTCACTTAATTTCTCCCTCAAAAAATGCACACATACATGAAGCTCAGAGAAACACAATGGAATGAGCATAAAAGAAACTTGGCTATTTAAAAATCAACTAATACAACCTACATCTTTAATTCAACCTAACTCAACCTTTGAACAACTCATCTTCAAAATAACTGGAGGTTTTTATAAAAGGATATTAGAATAAATTTTCTTTCTTATATTTCTTATATGACTTGGTTAGGTGCTGGCTAGAATACACAAAATCCTCAAGTCAAAGAATGTCTAAAAGAAGTTCTAAGAAGGTCTTAAAGTGTCAAAAACATACTTTCACTGAATTTATTCCTAAACTTTATCAAAACTCCTCATATATTTATTTCTAATGTTTACTAAAACTAATCAGTCATAACATCACCTTTTACCTGTTCCTAACCCCTAGAGTTGAAATTCAATGATTAACAATCTACAATAGCTAGGAAAAATAAATTGAGATGCAAGTCCCTCTAATGTATATAAAAGACTGGCCCAGAAAATTATAGTGTGAGAACTCAAAGAAAACTTATTGCTTACTAAAGCTAATACTTCTTTCTTCTTTCTCATCTCATTTTACAGATGAGGAAACTGAAGGCCAGTGAGGAAATTTCCCCAAACTGTGAAGAAAATAAAATGTTAGGAATCCCAAAAGCTAGAACCTATTGGGTCCCATGACTTCCAAAACAATGGTAAATATGTTTAAATTCCTCTGTAGTTAAATATAGTGAAAAGAACTCCTAGGGAAATTAAAGCTACATCTCATAAAATAAATTTTAAAAACACCTGAATTAGGCAAAAACACAAGAATTCATTTTTTTTCATGTTTTCAAACATTGTGGCTATAGTAACAATGATAAAGGTACACTAACAAAATAAGAAAAGCATCACTTAGCACAAAAATCCAATTCAAAACTATTTAAAATTTTGAATACATACTTGAATTTGGAGTGGGTGAATCATTAGTTTCATTAACATCTCCTGATCTGGTAAAACAGAATCCAAATCTAGTTCTTGACATTTTACAGCCTAAAAATTATTTAGAAAAAAAATAGTAATTCAATATTTCTCCAAAAATAACAACTTTAAAACAAAACAAATTTGTTTAATGGGAGTCTTACCTTACTCAAAAACATAGCATAGTAACGATGTAGAGGCAGATGAAAAGTGACTTGGTTAGGTGCTGGCTGGAATGAACAAAATCCTCATGTCAAAGAATATTTAAAAGAAGTTCTAAGAAGGTTTAAAGTGTTAAAATAATACTTTCACTGAATTTATCCCTAAATTTTATCAAAACTTAAAATTTTAGAAGTTATTGCTTTAAAAATCACTACAGTTAGAATTATTACAATTTTAAACACCTAAGTCCTTAACAGAAAGTATATATTATTCATCTTTGAAATTTCTGAAGCATCTATCACAGATTTTTTTCTAACCTAAGCTAAAGCAAATAATCATTATAAAAATGAAATGGAACAGATTACCTTCTACATTAGTCCATTTAGGGACTCTTCAATTACATGCATTATAAACTTGATAGTAATAAGAATAATATACTCAATTAATATTCATTGAGCACTTATTATGTGTTACGTCACCATGCTAATAACTTTACCCATAATACCTCATTTAATTCTCACAAGAATCCTATAGAATAGGAACTATTGATATTTCAACTCAACAATAGAGGATTCAAGCTTAGAAAATATAAGTCACTTCCTAAAGCTTAAAACTGGTAAAATGAGGAGCTAGTCTGGACCTCACTGCTATACAGAGTGTTAAGTGGACCGGACAGCTGGGCACAATGGCTCACACCTATAATCCCAGTGGCTAAGGAGGCTAAGACAGGAGGATCACAAGTTAAAAGCCAGCTTCAGCAAAAGTGAGGTGCTAAGCAACTCAGTGAGACTCTGTCTCTAAATAAAATACAAAATAAGGCTAGGGATGTGGCTTAGTTGCCAATTGCCCCTGAGGGAGGGAGGAAGGGGAGGGGAGGGGAGGGGAGGGGAGGGAAGAAGGAAAGATGGACTAGATAACTCTAAACTGAAGTACAGATGCAGGGTATCCTTGATTCCTTATTCACCAGCTGGGTGAGACACTCCTTGTACAGGTCAACCCCTATATAGGTCAAACACATCAGCCTCCATAACAAAACTTGATAAATAATATGTCAATAATCTTTGGCAGCCTGTGAATATTATAAAATTTTTATTTTAAATCTGTGACTCCAATGGATCATGATATCACTAAAGGGCAAAAGCACACCATACTTTTCATTCTTATACAAATAAGAAAAATTAAAAAGGTATTATTTGTTCTTAATGCTTTTATCAATTTTCAGTAAGTATTTTCCTATTTAAAAAAAGTTTTATCCAGAGCCAGATACAGTGGCACACACCTGTAATCTCAGCAATTTGGAAGGCTGAGGCAAGAGGATCTTAAGTTCAAGGCCAGCCTCAGCAACTTAGTGAGACTCTGTCTTGAAATTAAAAATAAAAAGGTCTTGGAATATGGCTCAGTGGTAAACTGCCTCTGGGTTCAATTCCCAGTACCAAAAAAAAAAAAAAAAATCCAGAACATTGTGTCAATAAAATAACATTATATACGTTATAAAGAGTCATAATATGAAATTATTATCTTTGTTAAAACTAATGAGAATAACATGCTCTTCAAAATGTGAAGGATATTAAAAAAGTGTTCTTTTAAAGAAAAATTTGCCCTTGATTACCATAATTATTTTAGTAACACATTCTAAACTAACTAGTTAAACCAGAATTTCCCAAAATTTTCTTTAAAGGCATTTAGGCATAGTCATTAAGAATGCTCTTAAGGCCTCATCTGTATGCATTCAAACCCTAACTCTACCACCTAGAGCCACAAAACTATAAGCAAGCAACTTAATTTCTCTGTGCCTAATAAGTTGCCTGGCCTGTAAAGTGGGAATAATAAACAATAGAATGATTATAAGAAAGAAATAAAATGACACAGTACTTAATACACACTGCTGTGAACTAGTAAACCATGGACTCTATTTTATCTTTGAGGGGTTTAGCATATTGTAAACATATTTTTCTGTAGTGTTAAATTTCATGCTCCCTCTTTGTCAGATTGGTCACTTGATAAATTCCTTTTCTTTCACCCCTAGTATATATACTGGGTGGTCCCTGAATTCCATTTTCCATTTCCTACTGTTCTTGTTACAGATGACTTTATCCAGATTCAAAGCTTTCACCACTAAACCTACCCAGATAATTTCCAAGTCTCAGCAGAAATCACAATCAAGTGTCTATTGAAATCAACACTTAATATACCACAGGGTTTATAAATACAGTGTCCAAACCAAACTCAGCATCTTTGCCCTAAAACTCAATCCTACTTAATGTCTCTTCTCCAGATTCTCTGTAATAACAATCTAAAAAGTAGACTCCTTCCTTCTCAAAAACCTCCTCCTCAAGGCATCAAATTATGATTATTTGATTTTTAAAGTATCTCACAAATCCACTTTCTCTTCTTTCTACACTGCATCTAATCAACCTTAGCTTAGGCTCTCAATGTTTCATGCCTAGATTTCAGCAGTAGCTCCTGCTTCTACTCTTACCCTCTGTAAGACATCTGTTGTGGTGTCTATTTCACTCATGACCATCCATTCCATCTTCTTCAAAACATATCCACACCCCCTTTACCCAGTCTCCATGACCACACATACAGGGATTGGGGACTGAAAGTCAAATTTATAATAGCCACATTTGACTGAACTCAAAACAGGCAGAAGACACCCAATTCAACCAGAATAATGAGTTTCCCTCACTCTTAAAACAGTTTGGAACTGGGACCTAGAGACATTCACAAAACAGCCTTAGAATATGCCTGAAATTGCAACATTAGGGAAATGTAAGAAGACAATATTTCACCACATGAACATGGAAGCAGAGAGGGAGGAAAAAATGAAGCAGATGCATGTAGCAAAGAAAAGGCAAAACAGGTATTTCTACACATCATTCCAACCCATTCCTGAGCTCCAGAGGCCCTAAGATCCCTGAGACATCCCTATGCACTCATTATAAATTATCCCTCCTTTAACTTAAGCTGCTTCAAATTATCTTTGCATTCAAACGAATCCTTTGACTAACATAACTTCTCTCTAGTTAAACCTGTGTATGCTGACAGAAAGTAGTCTTAATAAAATATTAATTCAATATTGAACTTCAGCTCACAATCTTTTAGTGACTCCTTAATGTTTTAGCCTTGTGATAACCTTCCAAATACTTTTTTTTATTATAATCTATTTTTGACTTATAGGTGGAAACAATGTCTTTATTTTATTTTCATGTGGTGCTGAGGATCGAACCCAGGGCCTCACACATGGTAGGTGAGTGATCTACCTCTGAGCCACAACCCCAACCCTAACCTTCCAAATTCTGAGAAGACAAAGCTTACCTTCCCAGTTTCATCTCATGTCACATAAAGTTATGTACCATAAGCAGCGCTGCCTAAGTCACCACAATTTTGTTCCTTTTTTTGGTCTAATTTTTATTGATTTTTTTTAAAGAGAGAGAGAGAGAGAGAGAATGAGAAAGAGAGAGAGAGAGAGAGGGGATTTTTTAATATTTATTTTCTAGTTTTCGGCAGACACACCATCTTTGTTTGTATGTGGTGCTGAGGATCGAACCTGGGCCGCACGCATGCCAGGCGAGCGCGCTACCGCTTGAGCCACATCCCCAGCCCCATTTTTATTGATTTTTTAAAAAATGACAGCAGAATGCATTACAATTCTTGTTACACATATAGAGCACTTTTGTTCCTTAGTTTATGCTATTGCTCTGCCTTGAATGCTATATAGCCCTTCTTCCCACCCCACCCCTGAATTAACATATCTTTAAGACTTTGCTATTGAGTCCTACAAGGTAAATCAGAAGCTCCCTTCTGTTGTTCCCACAATACCTGCTCACAACTTCACATAAACACAAATCAAATTAACCATTTACTTATGTTCCACATACTTAAATCAGGGTCTGCTTCATCACTGTCTCCAAGTGTTTACAAAAAAGCAAACATTAAATAAATACTTGCTAAACAAATGTTCTAATATCCTTCTATCAGAGGACTCCAGTCACACGTCTCTGCTACATACTCATAATCACCACCCCACATAATATTCACGTTTGAAGTTTCTTAAATGGTCTGCCTTATAGGAAAATTTACTTTATCCTATTTCTATATAATTACTTGATTCAGCTTATTGAGTTCAATATATATTTTTGCTTAATCTTTACTGTCTTAACTATAATAACTTCTGACATCCACCCACAAGGACAGAAGAACTAATAATTATCATACATGTAATATGTCTCTTAGTCAATCCTCATTGGTTAGTATTATGATAATAGATAAGAAAAATGAACTGAGCAATGTTAAAAAGATTTTTAAAAAAACATACACATAAAAAACAAAATTTTTAAAAATGTGTTTAAGGTCACATAGCTAACTGAACTGTATATAGCAGAGCTACAATTCACATGCCAACCTTCCTGTTCTCAAAAACTGGCATACCTGAAACACTATTAAACAAACAGTTGAGAAATATGAGGTTTAGATCCAAGACCACTAGTAATTTACTACATAACTATAGGCAACTCATTTAATATCTCTGTATCTACACTACATACCTACAAATGAGAGATTAATAAAAGCTTTTAAACATTATATAAAAACAGAATTCATTTTTTGATCTCTTGTGTTCTATGTTTATTTTCTCTTCTGTTAAAATTCAATTTAAATTCTTTATTACATTCAATATCTTCCTAAAATATTTGTGTGAAAAATGTACTATTTCCTTGAATTCAGATACACTGTATATCACAAATGATTCTAATTATCCTTAACTCCACTCTTGAATCCAACTATGAATTAACTTCATGTCATTTACTACATAATCCTGTGTATAATATAACTTTCCCCCACTTCAATCTTCCTATTGTCTCAGTGTCATTGCCATTTCAACAATAGTTTCTAAAGTTGCAAATACCAGTAAGAACTGGGTTGAAAAAAGTCAAAAATTCAGCTGAGGGATTAATCCTGCAGAGGGATAAAGAATACAGAAGGCTAAAAGAAGGATAAAGCTCTCTAGAAACTAGACAGTGTTCTAGGGAGATTCACTCATTATTACCGAAATAAACAAAGTTTAAACTTAAAGAGCAACAATTACTGAAGGGCAAGAATCAAGGTAATCTGATAAAGAGAGACTCAGAATCCAAAAGGACAAAATCCAGATCATCCATGCTGAAGGTTAAGAGTAAACACAAATATTAGACGAAGGGTGGATCAGGGTGGAAGATAATGTAATTTGGGGCAGGAAAGATCAGAGTAAAAGATAAAGAGGGCTCTTTCCTTCCAATATACTCTTAATGCCACTGGGAGGCTAAGAGTGGGCAGGACAAAACACGCATATTTTGCAGGCAGGCAAAATAGACAGAATAAGTGAGGAGCCTGAAGAGGGACATCAGAGCCCAAGTTCAGAACAACTATGTGGGCAAAGGAAGAGGGCTTGAGATGTCAGAGGTTGCTTAGAATGAAAAGGGAGGTGGGGTGCTAATTAACATAGGGAGTATGGCCTGGCATAGGAAGTAAGACCTGAATAGTCATAAAGTCATACGACACCCCCAGGAGAGAATACATGATGATGGAAGTGAGGTTTCTTATTGCTGGGGCATAAATAGAAAAAGGTCTATGGTTTTATAGTAGAATTTTATTTTCTATTTATTTATTTAGCTTACTGTGGGGTGGGTACTGGGGATTAAACCCAGGGTCTTGTGCATTTCTAGGCAACCACCCTACCATGAAGTATAGCCTCCCCACACCTTTGAAATTTAAAATATCTGCTTGAGGGCTCAGCGATAGATTATTTATCTAGCATGAATAAAACCCTTAGATGAATCCCTAATACCAAAACAAACAAAAAAGTGATATAAAGTATCAGTTTGAATTCATAACATTTACTGCACATAGAAAAATAAATATAGAAGTAAATATATATGTATGTGTGTGTATACATAATATACACCATACTCCTAACCGGGGCTTACTATGAGAGCCTGAGAAGACTAACACTCCAATAGTAATGAGCACATCTAGCACCCAGTTTTTGCTTTTAAATATTGTTCTCCACTAAAAGTCACCAGGTAACCTTAAATAAATTACTCATTCCAGAAATGGGTTATAGAATCTATAGTGTGAGCTTGAAACATCTTGTGACATAAAGCATGGAATTACTCAAAGAATTGTGAAACAAGCAAACGGACCCAGAAACCAACTTGAATGGGTTTTTTCTGGCCAAATCTAAAAGAATTTGAGCATTAAATAATAATACTAATGGATTAAAAACCATTAAATAAAATAATTACAGTAATAGAAAAGGTAACCTCATGCTGACGAAGGCTACCAAGCATTATTCTAATCAAGTGATCAAAGAGAACATCATCAGGACTAACATAAATCATAAGTTACCAGTTACAATTAAAAGACTACAACTTCACTATGTCATATTTCTAAAAATGATATATAATCTGAATCTAATCATGAGACAAACCCAAACTGAGGAACATTCTACAAAATGATTGATCTACATGCTTTAAAATGTCACAGTTCAGGATAGGCATGATGGTGCACAGCTGTATTCCCGGTGACTTGGGGGGCTGAGGCAGGATAATTGCAAATTTGGGCCCAGTCTCAGCAACTTTAGCAAGACCCTAAGCAATTTAGCAAGAGCCTGTCTCAAAGTTTAAAAAATTAAAAAAGGGCCAGACACAGTGGCACACTCCTGTAATCCCGGCAGCTTGGGAGGCTTGGGCAGGAGAATTGTGAGTTCAAAGCCAGCCTCAGCAATTTAATAAGGGCCTAAGCAATTCAGCAAAACCCTGTGTCCAAATAAAATACTAGAAAGGGGGTTGTGGCACGGTGGTTAAGCACCGTTGGATTCAGTCCTGAGTGTCAAAAAAAAAAATTAAATTAAAAAAGGACTGAGGGGCTGGGGTTGTGGCTCAGCGGTAGAGCACTCACCTAGCACATGTGAGGTACTGGGTTTGATCCTCAGCACCACATAAAAATAAATAAATAAATAAATAAAATAAAGGTATTGTGTCCAACTACAACTAAAAGAAAAAAAAATTAAAAAGAGGACTGAGGAGATATAGCTCAATGGTAAAGTGCCCCTGGATTCAATCCTAGATACAAGTGAAAAAAAAAAAAAAGGAAGAAGAAGAAGAAGAAGGAGAAGGAAGGAAGGAAACAAAAATGAAAAGAAAAACTGAGAAAGTATTCCAGAAGGAGACCAGAGACTAGAGGCAGGAAATCAAATTGCAAAATTTGATTCTGAACCGAATTCTTTTGCTATAAAGGACATCACTGAACAACTGCTAAAATAAGTGATTAGATGATAATAATATAGTACTGAATTTTACAGTTGTAGTCTGGTTATAGGAGAACATATCTTTGAAGGAAATATACACTAAAGTGCTTGGAAGTCATAGGGTGTCAAGTCAACAAATTAACTGTTCAATGATTCTAGAAAAGAAACCTATTTCCACTATCAACTTCCAAATAAATTTGTGATTGTGTCAAAATTTAAAAAAAAAAAAAAGGAAAAGAAAAAAAGAAAGACAATTCTACTCCTCTCCATAAACACAAATATACACACCCCTACCTGCCCAAGGTTCGGAAAGGAGATTGGGAGGTGAGGGGCAGTGCTGTCTAAACATATTTGTTTCTCTGTATATAACATATTCTGACCCTACTTCATAAGATGAATAAAAAGGGCTCCTGGTAAACTTGACTAATAAAAGTAATCACTTATTCAATTCACACATAAAATGTCCTGTGCCAACTCTTCTCTATTATTAATAAAAATTACCTTTGTTCAAGTGTATCTTTTCAACCTCTAAAAAAAATACTGTCCAACTAAAAGTTGTAATATATTTTTCTTTATCTCCCCTATCTTATTCAAATTTGCACTGACATTTTTATCTCTTCAACTGAAATTAATCTTCACTTCTGAGAAATAATGACACACATACACATAACATAAAAAGAAATCATGCCTGTTCTAAGAAAGAAGCAGACATAAATACTACATTCTGGAATTTTCTAAACGTCAAAAACTAATCTCCCCTTTTAATTTACCCCTTTTAAAGCGAAATAATATTATGTTAATTCTGACTTCTTTCCCTTATTCCATTAAAAAATTCATAATTTTTTATGTGAAAGGAGATTTAACATTTTTCTTAAATGCTTTTGCATATATCAAAAATATACATACCTCATCTACGAAGTTTATCGCATCAAACCAGTCTTGAAGGGCTTCAAGGCAATATCTTACAACATTTCGGGTATATTCTTGAGTTTCCTAAAATAATATGTAAATTTTACAATATGTAAATGTAAATATTTCAATACCAAATTATATTTAATGCATGATACGGTATACATTGCAGATATGGTAAAATGTATATATTTTCAAGATAACCATTATGTTTGGCATTTCAAGAAATCATCCCTTCAAAAGATAATGACAGGAAAAGAAAAAAGACAATTCCATTCCTCTTCATAAACACACAAATACACACTCCTACATGCCCAAGGTTCAGAAAGGAGATTTGGAGTGAGGGTGAGGACAAATATGAAAATTAAAGAATACAATTTTTGCTTCCTTTTATATAACATATCCTAAAAATGAGTCAAAGTTGATAAAGAGAGAAAGCGAGACATTAGACTTCCAAGCAGGAACCTTCAGTGCACTAGCGATAAGAGAGTGAATTAAAAATGGATGATGGTGAGAAGAAAGAAGATTTTTGTTTAGAAGTGTGCCCGGTGCCACTCTGAGAGAAAAGGGAGTCAAGCAAAAACTGTGTCAAATCTCCATGAACTGTCTGGGCTGAAGACAGGTCAGGCTGTTGGATTCTCTCACTCAGCCACCAATAAGAATAAAGGAAAAGAGATATACACTGATGGAGTATTTGGAGAATCCCAAAATGTACATCCCTGGAGCAAAAATTATCTTCACTGGCATTAAGGAGAAAGGAGAAAAGCAGACTTAATAACTTACCTCAAAAAAGTTACTAATAAATAATAGCCACTGCCATATTTATCATAAAACAGAAATTTCTCATGGCTTTTTAATGTGTACCATATTTAACTGTTATCATACACCAGAATTCAGATCATGATGGCTGACAGGATATTTTTTGTCAGTCCCGATTTAAGTAAATTTAGCCTGCAGTTAAATAAAAAAAAATTTAAATGGACTCAAATTAGGTTCTATTTTAAGAAACCCCCATAATGGTACAAATTGGTAAATATGGGGCTGGGGTTGTAGCTCAATGGCAGAGCACTTGCCTCGAATATGTAGGCACTGGATTCGATCTCAGCACCATATAAAGATAAATAAACAAAGATATTGTGTCCATGTATAAATAAAAAATATTTTAAAAAAACAAATTGGTAAATGTAATTGTTTAATTGACAGAGAGTCTCTTCTGGGCTGATGAAAATGTACTGAAACTAGCCAACGGTGATGACTACTCAATGTGAATATACTTTGAACTTTAAACCTAAAAATGGTTAAAGTGCACATTTTATAAAATTAAAAAAGGAAAGCAAAACATGAATACTGTAATTAGCCTGTGATATCTTGGCTTACAACACAATTTGGAAGAAGAAATGATAGGTATGAGCCATTAGAAATAAAGGTACTATGAAAGGCAATTAAAATGTTTTATGGTAAAATGGACCCACTGAAATAAGAAAGTTTTAAATTAAATGAAAACATAAATCAAGAGAAGGCTCTCATAAATAAATAAATAATAGGGAAAGGATTTGAATAGACATTTCTCCCAAGAAAATATACAAATAGTTAATTAGTACATGAAAATATGTTTAAAACCATGGAAAACTGTGAACGAAAACCAAAAGCCAAGCACAGTTGCACATGCCTATAATCCCAGAGGAGGCTGAAACAGTAGGACTGAGAGTTCAGCAACGCCAAGGTGCAAAGCAACTCAGTGAGAACCTGCCTCTAAATAAAATACAAAATAGGATTGGGGGTGTGGCTCAGTAGTCAAGTGCCCCTGAGTTCAATCCCTGGTATCAAATACACACACACACACACACACACACACACATACCCCACTTCATACCCATTAGGATGACCATAATTTTTAAAATGTAAAATAAAAACTATGTGTTAACAAGAATGTAGAGAAATTAGAAAACTCATACATTGTTGATGAGAATATAAAATGGTGCATCTGCTAAAAAAAAATACTTTGGCAATTCTTCAGCAAGTTAAATATAAGAGTTGCCATATAAATAAGCATTCCACTGGTACATACTATACTTAAGAGAACTGGAAACATGTTCACATAAAAATTATATGCAAATGCTCACAGACGCTATATTCATAGTAGTCAAAAATGTAAAATAAATCCAAATGTCTATCAACTGATAGACAAATAAAATCTGGAATATCCATATAATGGACTACTATTCAGCCATAAAAAGGAATGGATTGTTGATAATGCTGCAATATAGTTGAACCTTCAAAACATTACACTAAGTAAATGGGCCAAGGAACTGAACAGACACTTCTCAGAAGAGGATATACAATCAATCAACAAACATATGAAAAAAATGTTCATCACCTCTAGCAATTAGAGAAATGCAAATCAAAACTACTCTAAGATATCATCTCACTCCAGTCAGAATGGCAGCTATTATGAAGACAAACAACAATAAGTGTTGGCGAGGACGTGGGGAAAAAGGTACTCATACACTGCTGGTGGAACTGCAAATTGGTGCAGCCAATATGGAAAGCAGTATGGAGATTCCTTGGAAATCTGGGAATGGAACCACCATTTGACCCAGCTATCCCTCTCCCCGGTCTATACCCAAAGGACTTAAAATCAGTGTACTATAGAGACACATCAATGTTTATAGCAGCACAATTCACAATAGCTAAACTGTGGAACCAACACAGATGCACTTCAGTACATGAATGGATAAAAAAATGTGGCATATATACACAATAAAATTTTACTCAGCAATAAGAGAGAATAAAATCATAGCATTTTCAGGTAAATGGATGGCGTTGGAGAAGATAATGCTAAGTGAAGTCAGCCAATCCCCCCCAAAAAAATGCCAAATGTTTTCTCTGATATAAGGAGACTGATTCATAGTTGGGTAGGGAGGGGGAGCACGGGAGGAATAGAGGAACTCTAGATAGGGCAGAGGGGTGGGAGGGAAGGGGAGGGGAAGAGTAGGTTAGCAAGGATGGTGGAATGTGATGGACATCATTATCTAAAGTACATGTATGAAGACACGAATTGGTGTCAACATACTTTATATACAACCAAAGATATGAAAAATTGTGCTATATATGTGTAATAAGAATTGTAATGCATTCCGCTGTCATTTATTTTTTAACAAATCAATAAAAAAAAAAAGATTTAAAAAAAAATTACACTAAGTAATACCCAGACACAAGAGGCCACCCATGAAATGTCCTGATTAGGCAGATTCATAGAGACAGAAGTAGATAAATGGTTTCCAGGGGATGAGAGGAAGTTGGAATTGGGAAGTATGAAGTTTCTTTTGGGAGTGATATAAATGATGAAAATAGTGGTAATGGTTGCACACTTTTGGGAATACACTAGAAACCACTGAATTGTATAGCTTAAAGTGGTTGAAATGGCATTTTTTTATGAATTATATCCTAATTTTAAAAATTGTTTTGAAGTATTTGGGGGGCATCAATGAATAAAATAAAACTGTAGTGTCAAACACATTAAATTCATAGGCTATGTAAGTAAATTATTCACACACACACACAGAAAAACTGAGTCTCACCTTTTTTTTTTTTTTTTTTTGGACCAGGGATTGAACTCAGGGGCACTCAACTACTGAGCCATACCCCCAGCCCTACTTTGTATTTTATTTAGAGGCAGGGTCTCACTGAGTTGCTTAGTGCCTTGAGGTTGCTGAGGCTGGCTTTGAACTCTCAATCATCCTGTCTCATCCTCCTAATAAGCAGCTGGGATTATAGGCATGCACCACTGTACTGGCCTCAAGTTCATTTTTTACTTCTCGTTTACTCCCTTGGTCCCATGTCCTGTTGATTCTTCCATAATATTATCATATAGGTTCTCAACTATTGTTACTGTATCCAACCAGACCAAGCATCACTTATCTGGTCACAAGGCTGACAGTCTCACTCTGTTTCAGTCTATTCTGTATGAGATTCATCTTCATAGAAATATTATTTTATACATTCTATTCCCCAACTCTCAATTTAAAAAATTTAATTGTACTTATAAGTTACCATAAATAATCTGTCTTAACCAAATTAAAGTGCCAAATAATTCATGGATTAAAAAAAAAGAAAGAAGAAAACACCAAATATTCTCCCATTATGTCAAGGATTTGAGTTAACAGTGTTCCATTCTACACTCTTAGCACAAGTATGAACTGGTACAACCCACTTGGAGAACAATTGGACAAGTAGGTACCAAGAGTATTTTAAGATGACCAGTTAATTCCATTTCTATAGTATATTTTTACATTCAGAGTATGTCTCCCAACTTCCCATTACCACCATACCAATCCTGGGGAAAAAAAAAATGGTGGCTTATACTTAATAGTTTTATGACCTTTAGCAAATGTACATTTTATGATTCTCAGTTTCTCCAAAAGTAAAAATGGGCATACTACTACTTGCCTCCCAGCACTATTATAAAGATGCAAATGAAATGATCCATAAAAAATATTCTGTGAAGAGGCACATTAGAGGAAGGATGTACTTTCCAGCAGCTCATCAGCATTTGACTTACAAAGCGGGAAAACTGTTTCTCAGTGAGCTAACTACCTCCTTTTCCTCTGATAGCATTTTTTTTAATATTTCAAACTTTTTCCCACCTTTCCACCTGTTTTCCTTTTCTTAAGAAACTGAGATCGCACTAATACAATTACATGGTTTATGTAAATCATACCCTATTTATGTTGATGTAATTATTAATACAGTAGACAACATATTAGATACCTGATGTTAAATACCTGATCTAGTTCATAGTTGTGTGTTGCTGTCACTGATGTTAAATGCTGACCTCACCTTTCCTATATAGGAGACAATTAAGATTACAGATGTCAAAGTAAATATCAGACATCTATCTTAAAACTCTATGTCTGGGGGCTGGGGATGTGGCTCAAGCGGTAGCGCGCTCGCCTGGCATGCGTGCGGCCCGGGTTCGATCCTCAGCACCACATACAAACAAAGATGTTGTATCTGCTGAAAACTTAAATAAATAAATAAAAATTCTATGTCTGGCCAGGTGCACTAGCACATGGCTATAATCC